GTTAAGAGATGTCGTTTACATACTCTGAACATATACATTTTACAACCACTGACCACCATACTGGGCTGTGCACAAGTACTGTACATGAGGCAAGCCATTAAAACAAAAAATTAGACTCGTTAAGCATACCTTTAGCCCTGTGTAGCCCACACTGTAAAAGGCAAACAAGTGAAGCCAAGTGAAAAATGCATTCATCGAAAAAAAAAAAGAAGGGGAAAAAACAACAAAGAGAGATGGAGAAAGCAAAGAAACAGAAACGCTCAATGTTATAGCTGATGGTTATTCAAACACGATATGAGATGAATTAAAAAACGAAGAGACACTTGTTCGGAACTCAAGGCACTGGATGGAATGCTGTACGCAAAAAACAACACGGATCTGCAGCCGATTTCACGAAACACGTAACTTAAACGCCGCAACTGTGAAACGTTTCGTGAAATGTGTCATAACTGAAATGTGGTGGAAGTGGATTTTCGCCACTTGTGTGATGTTTCGTGAAATTGGCTGCTTGCATTTACATTATACATAGAACACACACATATTCCTTTTCCGAAAGATTCACATAATGCTGTGATTAAGTCTTCTTCCAAATTTTATTGATTTCAATCAAGATGGAAGTTGACAAGTTTAAACTCAGTGGGGCAAATATCGTCACTGTCAACACGAACAGACACTCACGCGCGCCTGAGTGCGCTACACGCACGTGTACCGGTATTTACAGAACCGGGATATTTTGGGTTTCACAAACTGACATCCTCCACATTGCGGAACCTTTAGAGCGTACCCCGTACAATTTCGTTTTCACGAACTGACACCCAAGCATGATGCAGCAATACAGAACGGAGAAAAACGGTTTGAAAGGTTTGGCACGAATTTAATCTATCCGTGTACCGGTACTTGTGTGATTATACAAATATTTTATTAAAAAGCGTTTCAATTGGATAAATTAAGATCAGTGTCAGTTCGTGAAACCGAAAATGCACGGGGTGCGCTCTAAGAGTGCCGCACTGTGGAGGATGTCAGTTTGTAAAACCCAAAATATCCCTGTTCTGTAAATACATGCGCGTGCAGCGCCCTCAAGCGCGCATGAGTGTAAGTTCGTGGTGACGGTGACGATATGTAGTCTATCCCTCCAAATTCCTTCAAAAGCCAAAGATTTAGGAGGATTTTGCAGGATTGAGGAGAGTACGGTCCGGCAACTATACACTTTTAATACATGGCACTTGATGCCCCTGGAAAGTAAACTGCATAGCAAGTGATGTGTACTTATTGGATACCTGTGTTTACAAGGAATCACATGGGTAATACAAAAAGGAACACAAGTGCATTGTGGGGAATTTGCCACACGTTACTTGAGATAAAAACAAACAAACAAACAGAGAGAAAAACAAACAAACAAACTAGCTCTGGCAACTAGTACACACAGCCTGAAGACCTTAACAAGTATTTTAAGGTGGAGAAGAGGCCAAGATTTGATCAAATCGAAGTACAGAATTTCCTTTAAAAGCCACAGTTCAGCTTTGCATGGGTGCATATCGGTACATGTAACCGACATTGACAAACATTTTTTGCAAAGTTTTTTTCAATCTACATGTACATGTACCCGTAACTGTTTTTAAGGGTTCACGAACATGCACATGTATGTCTATTTTCACCGACAGCTTTTTCAAGATGAATTTTAATGTGGTGATTGTTTCTACAAGTTGTTAGTTCAAATGCTAATTTGTCGGGTGCAGTGTTCTGAACAGGGAAAACCTTGCATACTTATTTAGAACAAATTCATCTTTATTTTTAGCAACATCCTACAATAAATATCTGTAGCCACAGACAGAAAAGGCCAGTTTTTTAATTAAAAAAACATGAAACAAAAACAACAACAAAAACAAAAATCAAAACCCCTTCATGAATAGTGCCCTCTTAAGTCTGACTTTACTACAATAACACACACTTAGTAACAAGAGCTGTCTAATTGGAAATACTGCTTCACACAGCACACTTATTCATGCACTGCCAATGACCCACTTCAAACATCCCAAGAATCAGATTTTTGTCAAGGCAATCAAAGAAAAAACCAACGTCATGAAAAATAGCACAGTTCATGATCTTGATAGGAAATTGTTGGAGACTTCAAACACATTAATACAAGAACATGCACGAACAAATAACCCAATAACTTAAAAACTGTACACAATAGTGGCCATTTTGTCAGGTTACCAGAAGACACTAAAGAGGATAATGTGAAAGTCGGTCATCGCTATTAAGGGCGCCAGCCTAATTTGTACATTCACTCTTGGGCCAGACAGCATAGCTTCAATGTCACATGGATACACAGAGAATGTTTTGCAGCCGGTCCTAGTAGCCCTTTATCAGGGTACGCCATCTTGAAAATCAAAGCGAGGCATACAGGGTGAGTAAAAAAAACAAGGAAACCCAAAAATGCATGTACACCATGTAGCACTTTCAAAATCTGGGATATGAAAGCCCAATTCATAAGCTTTCTTTTAGTACAAGAGTCATTCAAATCACTCCTGTACTTTTCAAGTTACAGAATTTTAAACACAACCACCGTTTTAAAATTCTGTCCACGGATCACAAAAAAGTAAGTGTTCTTTCAGCTATAATAATTCACACAGGGGTTAATGTAAATTGTTTTCGTTTTGCTAAAAGAACACTTACCTAATTTGTGACACGTGGACAGAACTTTAAAACGGTGTTTGTGTTTAAAATTCCGTATCTTGAAAAGTACATGAATGATTTGAATGATTCTTGTACTAAAAGAAAGCTTATGAATTGGGCTTTCATATCCTAGATTTTGAAAGTGCTACATGCGGAACTTAACTAAAAAAATGGTCCCGACATTTGGGTGTCGTTTTTTTTTAACTCACCCTGTATAACGCAAACAAACATGGCAGCGTGAATACTGAGTGCGGTGAACGAGTGACTTGCGCAAAGTTACAGCAGATTGACACTCTTATAAACGGATGGATAGCTCAAATTCCCCCAAAACATCAATCAACATTCTAGGTAGGTCACGTCTTATTGTATTTTGAAGAAGGATCTTATAAATATAAGGCCCAGAACCAGTGGCTGAACTCAAGTTTCCATGTCTTGAGTTTACTACGCGTAGTACAGCCGTCAGATCAGAGAAACGATCAAGACTTTCTTTTTTCACTTTTCCATCCGCGGCTTTTTCTGAGCTGACATTGCAACTTGGACCACTTTCACAGCGCTGCAAAGCACAAAAATGTGCTTATCACAAAAAAGTCCGGCTTATAAAAGCAGGTTACCAGCCAAAACTCCATGTGATGTATGTTGCTCATGATTAGTATTCAGCTGTTGCTTGCTTAGCATGAAAATCACATGGAGTTTTGGCTGGTACCCTGCTTTTATAAGCCAGACTTTTCTGCGCTAAGCAAATTTTTGTGCTTAGCAGCGCCGTGAAATTGGGCCCAGGTTAGGCCGTTTTTTTTTAATTACTTGGATTACGGAATCGCCGCCGGAAAAAATCGGAATTTTGAAAAAAATTAAAAAAATCGCCGCCGGAAATTGTCGATTCTGACTACCCCAAAAAAAAAAAAAAAAAAAAAAAAAAAAAAAAGTGCCTATTGTACAAAAAACTCTATATTGCGCGCTGTCCAGGCCTGTAAACCATAGTATTAGTACTGGTTTGATCGAACGACATGACATACACCGCGTTCCCACTTGATTTGGAAAAAGGCGGATCAAGATCCGGCATTTTGGTGTGATCGTTATCTTACCGCAACGAAACCGCAAGTCGCGTTCCCACTTATGCTTGATCCACCTTTTCGTAAGGAAATGTTGGGTCCGAAAGGTCACTGAGTTCGGAATTACGCGCGCTCTGTGGGAGTGCCATTGTTGCATGGTTGCATGCTAGGCCAGGATGGGTCAGTTTTCAAACAGCACTATCAGAATTAACAGACAAAAATTACGCGAATTCACCAACATAAATCACGGATCCGTAGAGGATCCGTGCGTGCATAAATTAAAAGGTGAAATCCAACAGAGCCGCTCACGTGTGACATCACGGCAGAAACCAATGCATCGATAAGGGATTCCCTGGTTCTGAAGCTTCTCATTGGTTAGAAACGGTCACATGATGTACTACGACATCATTTTCCAATTTTCTATAATCAATACTTCAGATTTGTCACCCCCGTACGTACCGCGTTATCGGCACTATTCCCATCGCATACTCGTAAGCTTTTCAATGATTCTGTGCCAAAGTGAAGTCTTTTGGTGAGTGTGGACTCAGAGTCATTTATGGATGGAAAAATAAGTAAAATTTCAGGAATGAAAAAGGTTTAGTAATGGACGAACACGCAACAAAAATAAGGCCTATAGTGTAGTTTTAGGATACCATGTGCGCTTTTGCATGCGCGGTGCTAGCCCGTAGTTCAGCGGTTGTTTATTGTGCATGTTGTAAACGCTGGAAATGTCCACATGAGCTACACGCCTGAAAACGTGTTTCTTCGTTCATGAGACCGCAACATTTTCGCGCCACTCGTGCACCGGGCGGATGTTAACAGGTCAAATTGCCGGATCAGATCCACCTTTTGCGTTCCCATCTGATCGTGATCCTGCAATTGCCGGATCTGATCCACCAATTGGGTGACTGTTCATTCTCGTGCCCGTTTTTGTTTCTTCATGTCTCTATGGGCGCCGCCATGTTGGATGATAGGGCGCCCCCATTTTTTTTTTTTTTTTTTTTTTTTTTCATTTCCCGCTCGCCGCCGGAAATGGGGACCCAAAAATTCCGTAATCCAAGTAATTAAAAAAAAACGGCCTTATTAGGGGGCTATCGCTTACTCGCATCGGCGAGTGAGGGAAAAGCACCCCAGCATGTGCGCACATCAGCAATGGTGTACAAGTGAACTGCAATAATAGCTATGAATTTTTTGGACAAAATTGTGCGCAAGGTACATGTTATTCCTTCGGAAGGGGCGGGGCAAACCAGCTCGGTTTTGAGGGCGGAGCCTTACCTATTATAATGATGAGGATAATTGCGATAATGACGGCGAGAATGATCATCATCTTGCAGTTCTTCCACCAATATTTCCTCTTCAGTTTGCCGGCGTTCGTCTCAAACTGCGAGGCCCCCTGCTGAAGTGCATCTAGGGAACAAGAAGGGGGTGAAAGAGCAAAAAAGACAGTCAAGATTAGGGTCAAAGATGAAGGAATAAAATATACTTAGCTTTGTAAAAAAAAAAAAAGAAGTAGTCGTGCTAAGCTTCATGATCTGGACCCAAATGAAAGAAAATATAAAAAAACATGTAGCAATTATCAAAATAAGAGCAAATGAAATATGTGATGCGATCAAGCTACATTTGTAATGCAAGTCGTTTGTCGACCCTGGTCAAATTAATTTTTATTACATATTTGAAAAGAGCACAATCTCAGCATTACTGCTGTGAAAACCGCATGCTGATACCATCTTTAGTTCAAAAATTACGGAAGTCGGAACACCAAGAGATGTGATGAAGTGATGTGATGAAGTGGCCTGAATCTCCAAATAAAAATTCCAGACAAACGACTCATTTAGCTTGATCGCATCACATACATGTACATGTATGTCATAGGCTTGTATTTTGGACACATTTGGTGAAAGTTTCATGTCCGTTGTGCCATTTGAAGGAAAGCGCTAGAAAAGAACACACACTAAAACACTCTGACCACGGTTCCATGGTTCAACATATTTATTGAAATCGCATACTGATGAGAAGCAGTGTAATAACAAATACACACCTAGTCATGGTGACTGACTCACTTGAAGTTATTGACACATTTAAAAAAAGGCAAAAGCAAGTCCGTGTGCAGACTGGAAAATGAGCCACTTCAATGAAAATGGCAAAACTCGTCACCATGCACAGCCACTAATTTGAAAAATTCAAAATTCCTGTGGAAGACAAGGTAATAACCATTCGTATGAAACACTCAGTTTTTCTCAATATATTCTATTTGCCACCAAAAAAAATGGGGAACTTGGGTCCAAGATCATTCTGACTCACCCTGCAGTTGTTACCATTTTAGTTACAGGTTTTCTGCACATGACATTAGCTTCCTTCAAGTACACATTTTGGCCTGTGCTCATTTTAACGACTTTTCTCTGTTGCTTATTTCTGACAAATTTCGCTTGGCCCTTTAACCCTAACCGCCCTGAATCCTCCAAAATCCTTTTTGCAAATTGGAGGAATTTGCAGGATTGAGGTTACATGGCAAAAGTGGGTTGCTGATTTCGGAGTACGCACTGTGTCAAGGTCTTGGGCCGGACCTTGTGTTGTTTATGCTCAGCCGTGCATAAATTTAGTCCTTGATTATACTTGACATCCTCCGCACTGCTCCAGGATGTCACTGCCTCTGCCTCAGCCTATTGACAGTCATAGCCGGAGGATTTTGCAGGATTCAGGCAGTGGTCACCCCTCCATGGACCATATTCAAGAAATAGCGGAGGATTTTGCAGGATTGAGGCTATGCTATTTTTCGATGAGGCCAATTGGAGGATTTTGCAGGATTGAGGCTACATCCTAGCAAAAAGGCCTAGGGAGTTAGGGTTAATAACCCTAACCGCCAAGGCCCTTTTGGCTAGGAACCATTCTCAATCCTACGAAATCCTACAAAATCCTCCAATTGCCACCATGTAAAAATTGGATACAGCCTCAACTCAATCCTCCAAAACAAGGTGTTATTTCATAAACTTGTTCAGTGGAGGGGTGACCACTGCCTCAATCCTGCAAAAATTCTCCAACAATCACTGTTACACATTGAGGCAGTGCATCTGATATGCAGAAGCAGTTCAGATGATATCCAGTATAATGTTGGCCTTAAAGCCCGAGTCCATCATTTGCAGCTATCCAAAAAAGTAACTGGCGTAATTATTGTTGAAAAACATACTGGTTGAAAGATAGTAAGGGGACTAAACTCCCTGTGAAATTATCCTTTCTGGCAAGCTCTCATTTTGAAGAAATCAACGAAAGGAGGCATTTCCAACGGTAGTTTTTAAGAAGCACCGTAGGAAAATTTAAATTAGTTGTTCGTTTTGTTATTCGGCGCAGCGCGCACAAGCATTGGAACGACGCACAGGCGTGCGCGGTTGCTATAATTCGTCGGATCAGTGCGCGACATCGCGTAAAGCTGCAATTCAAAACAATTCAAAACATGATTCAGCAACTTTTGATTTGAAATCGAGATCCTAGAATGCTGTTTTTCTCGGAATATACAGCTGAAGCTGAGCTGAATCTTCATCAGGTTAGTTGTTCAGCACCCTTCATTAGATTTTGAACACTTTTGTTGCTTCAAATGAACAAAATGCACTAATTACAAATGATGGACTATAGCTTTAATTATGCATAGCTGAACATAAACAATGCTGGGTACAGCCTACGATCTTGACACAATGCTTCCTCCAATATGAACCGACTTTTTTTACCAGTCAGCCTCATCCTTTAAAAATTCTCCCAAACTGTCTGGTTAATTTTGGAGGATTGAGTGTTAGGGTTTATTTGGAGACAACTTGATACAGAAAAAGATAAGACTCACCTGCACGATCGTCCAATTCTGATAGCTTCTGATCTCTTTCTAAGACCTTGTCTACGTTCACTCGCATAATATCCACAACCTGAAGAACGGAGTAATAGGAAAAATATGGCATCTGAAAATAATCTCCTTCATAAGAGTTTGTATACATGTACATGAGTCTATTGGACTATTCAAGACCAATCTTACGACGTTGATTGCATTCCTTGTACCAAGAGCCGCATGCATCGTGAAACACAGCCGGGAACCAGGAATGAAAGTTCGTGACTTTGTTTTGAATCACGTTTGACAAGAAACATTCCCAAAAGATTTGAAGGTTTGCATTGTGATTATGCAATACGAGTAACTTTGCGGTTGTGACATGTGACAAGAATTCTCTTTTGTGAGTTTGTGTGGTTCTGCAAAGAACCGAGGAAAACTCGGACATTTCAGACAGAATGCTCTGCCTGTTGTCAGGAGATGGCTACCATCAGGTGGCATGGGTGGCTAGTGCGTACAGCGCTCACCTCTCACCACTGTGGCCCGGGTTCGATTCCCGGCTCGGACCATATGTGAGTAGGGTTGTTCGTTTATTCTTTCCTGTGCCATGAGGGTTTTTCTCCGGGCCCTCCGTTTTCCTCCCATCGCAAAAAATCCACACTCTCGATCTCTGACTGTGCTCCGTGGTCATACAGTCGACTCTCGTTAATACAAACACTGTTAATACAAATAATATGCCACTCTCCAAGCCTCTTAGTTAGACTTCCTCGAGGAGTTCTGAAGAGGATAACCACCAAGTACCAAGTACCAAGTACCAAGTACAAATTCTGGTTATAGCTAACATTTAAAGCCTTGGTCCAGACTGTGCATTTATGTTCACTCCACTAATACACAATTCTGATACATAAACATTCTGGCTAGGTCCAGCTAAGTTTGTATATTAACAAGAGTCGACTGTACCTGTATGGGTTGTGTATGGCAGCTGCCTAAGGCACCTTTACATGCCTTCGGCCCGACCACTTTGTAGCCGCGTCCTTCACAAATCAGCTTCTCAGCCCCGAGTAAGGATGATTAGCTCCCAAATTATTATCAACTGGGCGATTGTCCCTGGACATTCTGTGGCATGCTCTTCTGACGATGGGAAGAGCATACTGTCTGAAACATTGTGGTCCCCCCAGTTCTTTTTAAAACCACACAAACATTCCGATGTCGCTACTAATGCGTAAGGTGTCAGTTAAGTCACAAATCAACGACTAGTAGCCCACTAGTAGTCCTTGACTGAACTTGATCAAATTTGGTGGTTTTAAGAAATGAAACCTGCGGCTCCATGTACTTATCTTACCTCATCCACCTGGGCTTGAGTCTGCTGTAACCTCTTATTACTTGGTGGTGCGGCCCTTTGAAGGAAAAAACACGGAAATTATTAACAAAAACCTATAAACTCTTCAAAAAAAAAATATGTGATTCTAATTATCGGGTACCTGTAAATTCACACATGTTGTTAATCTAATGGACATCCAATTTGACTGGGGTTAGTGGGTGTGACCACAAATTTGTTGGGGGGGGGGGATCATTGAAACATCAGGGGGCGTTCTCTAAGGTGGGAAAGACGGTACACCATCCAACACAAGGTGGCACTGTTCAGTTACACAATTTTCCGACAAGAATTTATCGGTGTTAATGACAAGTACGGTACAACGAAGGGGTAGGGAGGGTGTTGCACTCCCAATACCCACTTCATGTATGTACAGTGTACTGTACGAACTCCCCTTTATCCGCACTACGTTTGGAAACAAGTTACAAATAAACCTGGTTAACAATTTTGGTTAGAAACATTTTTAACATCGGTACAAAAAACACACGTCATCTCACACAACTCACTGGGAATTGACAGTGATTCACAATGTCAATATTTTGCTCACTCGTATCATAATTATGCACATACACGCATACACTCGTAACATCCATGTAAACAGATACATACATGTAGGGACGCAATTCACAATGTTTGCTACATTAAGTGGGACTGGTTGGGTTATTTGGTTGTTAAACTTTTAAGGCTCTTTCACTCTACACAAAATCTCTGTGTTGGACCAGGGTTGAACCCCGAGATTTTGGGAGACCCTTCCACACTAAACATGGCTTCTTCAAAGGTCCAACACTCTACAAGGAAAACTTCAGCCCTGATCTGGACCGGGGTTGAAAAGCTCTACCCAAGTAGAAAATCCAAAACACATGTACTGGTATACGACCAACCCGTGTACACACTAGTGCTAGTGTGAACAGTATGCACTGTCAGTATACACTGCTTTGCCTTGGTTCTGCTCATGGTGTGAAAAGGCCTTTAATTCCTCATAGTCATTCACAATACATTCACATGTACTATGTATAAATACAATGTATGCATTATAAAAATTCAAGATTAAGAATGCACAATGGATGATGGGGTTACCATGGTTACAAGCAACTTACAGCCAGTTAAATTAGAGGCATACTATACATGTACAAAAAAATGTATTAGGTACATTGTACCATGGAGCTATCGGTAGGAGGGAACTTGTTATTTGCCTGGATTTTTTGGGGAGTGGTTGGGGGAGGGAGGTTAGGAGAATGGCTTGGGCTGGTGGGCTTGGGGGTTGTGTAATGGGGTACCATTTACCAAATATGGTAACATGCAATGTGCAGAATGCATTACCTTGGCGGCTGATCAGGATTAGCTGTTGGGGCATCCCTAGGTCACGGCAGATAAATTATAGGCACCAATAAATATTTACTTATTAATATTATTTTTTTAATTAATATATAAATACTGAAATTTACATTTAACTTTATGCACAAACACACACTCCCAAGTGCGTTCACACCGTTGATCATGGACGTCCTATCGTCCCTCTTTTGTTTGTACAATGTACTCAAACTTTTTAGGAAGACTTCCATATGTTTTGTACATGACTCAAAACACGGACGTACCGGTATGCTGGGAATCGTGGACGATATGTTCTCTTTTGTTCTCTGGAATTTTTCGTCCACGGTTTGAACAGATGAACACGCCCTCATGTACATGAACACACAGTCATGTATCAACCTCCCTTGTCCCTCTTTTAGGAAGACTCCCATATGTTTTGTACATGGTCCCAACTGCGGACGTATGCTGGGAATCGCGGACGATATTGTTCTCTTTTGTTCTCTTTCATTTTTCGTCCACGGTTTGAATACCTGAACACGCCCACATGTATCTGTTCACAGTCTAGAAGCAATTCTGACAAAGATTATGTACATGTACATTCAGTGAAATGTCGATTTAAGTCAAACCTAAGAGGAATTGGCTCAAATTTTGAGTTAAGCAGAGTTTTGAGTAAGCAAATGGATTTTCTTTTCAACAACAATTGACTGGAGTAAGTTCTTACTTTGAGTTAGAAGGGTTTTCGAGTTAGCAGGTTTTGACTTATCGAGATTTCACTGTATGTACATGTACTCTATAAAATTTCCAATGACTTGAGAGTGCCATAACATATCTTCAGCATATCTTGCTTTAAAACAAATCTTCTAATGCTTCATACATGACTAATGTTAATGAAACAACATGCATTTAGAAGTGGCACAAACTTAAACCCTGCTCCGGGTCAATCACACTGGAAACCGGTCTATTAATAGACCGTGTCCGAAGATCAATCTGACACCATGCGCAAATTAAGTGTGATTATTCTTACATGGTTAGCGGGGAGCAAAACTAGATTACCATGCGACACACATACACACACCCCCCCACATACTCGCGCCATTCACTGCAGTGATGTGCACTTGGCCATACATTGTACACATTATTATGTTGCATGTGCACCATCACAGCAAACCTCAATACATCACACACATAAGTACATTATGTGCATGCACATCACTACAGGCATACAAATATGCACATGTATATGTACATGTGTACAAACACTATTCCTGATTACTTATTCACATAGTATGATCTTGGCTCCTTTAATCAACTTAGAACTTATAAATATTCATGAGTTTTCCATACTGGATGGAGGACACTTGCTCGCGGGTTCATTTCTTTCCAATACACACATGAATACACTTGTACATGTACATGTACATGTGTGTACACTTGTATGGATTTCAGACACCAGGATTTTCTTCTTTTTTTCACACAGAAAATTAATTTGACAGTGACCATTTCTTTTGTTGCAATGTCAAAAGATATCAGTGAGTTTTGGAAATGTTGATCCATGTGTAAGATGTACCGGTACTATAAAAAAGGATCTACATGTACATGTACATGTATTGCCATGCCAAAAAATATACTTTTACATGTACGTACATTTGTGCACATGTGTAATGTGTGTACACGCAAGAGTAGTGCTGCAATTATGTACATAATCTATAGTCAATGCACATTACGCATAATGTACATGTACATGTATAGAAACCGTACATGTACAATGTGCACAGCACCGTGTTGTTGCATGTAGCTTACTGTGGTCCAATGGTTACGGTGTTCCAATGTGCTGCGGTATGTGGGTTCGAATACTGACGGGGAACATGGTGCTTGTGTTCTTGGGCAAGACACTTTACTATAATTACAAGCCTCTCTCCACCCAGGAGTGTAAATGGGCACCTGTGAAAGTAGAGACCAAATTGCGCTGATCTTGAGCTGCTGCGGAAACAAATGGTCTCATTCCTGATGAACAGGGATAATATTGTAAAGCGTTTGAAACCTTAAAGTGCTACATGTACATGTAAGCACCACATTATTTTAAAGGGACACTAGGTCCCGGAACAGCCCAATTGGGCTTTGAATAAAATGATTTTAATCGGAAATAACATTCAAAAGTAGGATGTAAACATCCACACAACTATCCTTTCAAAACTGGGCGTTTTTGTGTTATTCCTGTATTATGCGTGCGAGAACGAATTTCGGGGTCCACTTTTGCGACCCCATAAATAAGAGCTGTTTGGATGCTAGTTGTGATTTCATTCATGAAGTATTCGCCTTTTGTGGACGTTGAAGAAACCACTATTTTTGCATTGGTGATTGGTCACCGCTGTTCCCGAGACACACAACGTGTATATCGTACACTGAGAACGACACGAAAAACATATTCGTGCTCCGTCGTGTCCGATGTAAACAAGCGGGTTTTTCCGTCTTTTCTCGGAAACGGTAAGACATTAGGTTGGTTTCCTTTCAACCAGATGTTTGATATAAGTTATTAAGTAAACAATCCAAAACATGAAATTTTTGAGGATTTCAGGAACTTGTGCCCCTTTAATTATTATTACATAAATCAGGCATGCAACTGGGAATTTAGAAAAAACAAGGAAACTCCAAACCACACAAGACTTTGTACAGTTTTATTAAATTTGTAATGGCATACATGAGAAGTAAAAAGTGAGGAAATCAGCGGATCCGAGGAAATGTTGCATGCCTGATAAATTTATGTACATGTAAGTATGTTATTATTATTACTGTATTACATTAACTCTTTGCATACGGTGAGCTGATCGGCTCAAAACAGTTCCCACTCGAGCTGATGTATCAGCTTGAACGTCATGTTTTAATTCCGTCAATTAGGGCAATTAATTCTGTGTGCACAAAGGGGAAGGGGTTAATCTCCCAGCAAATTTGTGTCCGAACCCCTACGCACATGCATGTCTCTCGGCCTTCAACCTCCTGGCATATGGGACACGGATGCACCACATTACTCCGTGATCCGATTGCGCGCAGGGAATAAATGATAGTTTACATGAATGTACTTGAACCAGTTCCCATGTACAACTCTGCACTACGACAGGTGTACAATGTACACGCTATCTGTCGTGCCATGCGAGTTGACACACACGTTAAAATTAATCAAGGGCTCCAATGCTGTGTGGGGCTACGTAGTTTCTTTTTTTAGTCAACTGCATACATGTACATAAGCCAACCACAGCAATCGATAGCTGTGCAAATCAATAGCTTCAAGCTGTATACAAAACAAAGGGGGAAAACCTTTTCGATGAATACTGCTAGGCAAATGCTGTGCTGTACCACATTTGACATGTAATGTACCAGTATTTCTTCATTTACATGAATGTCATTGGCAAAAAAAATATGGCAAGTCCTATTCAAATGAGTCGGCAAAAGGTTTTAAAGCTCGTAAATATTATTGCCATTTTGAGATTTAAAAATACCTCACTTTTTGCTGGCACTAAGGCCAAAAAAAATAATAAGTCAGTCTCTGGTCAGCGCGCGCGTCGATTTGAATCATTTTAGTCAATTTTTTTTTCTTCCAAAATGTTCCGCGGTAGCTCCAACAGCGCCCTCTATTGCCGCACCTCCTCAATTTTTTTTACCAAAGAGCACCAAGGAATGGGAAATTGCACCAAGGCAAATGATCGAGAGCACCAAGGCAAATTATGGAGGACACCAATGTACATGAGGACACCAAAAAAGCAAAATAGTACCCACGTTGTCTGTACAATCCAAGCTTGAAGAAAAAAAGAAGCCGCCGCGTTGCCGTGTCAATTCCGGAACTTTGGTCTGACCAGAGACCGAATATTTTTTTTTTTTTGGCCTAACATTTGGCAAGCAGATTGTCTTCATTGTCTGACAGCAATGGGATTGATTTTCTTTTCTTAATACAAATTATGTTGATATTGTCATTCAAAAATATTAATTAATGAAGAAAAAAATATGTTTGCATAAAATTTGTTAAGAATTCAGTTTACATTATAGTAGGCCTACCGTATGTATGAATTCCGCATACATCATGTGTGTGCAGGCATGCAGTGCATTTGGCTTTGTGACCTTAAACCGTGCAATGAAGCACGACCATCATGTACCGTGCCACTAGCCTGGTGCAGGATTTGCCTACATGTAATCAAGCAGACCATATTACTACCCGTACAACCTAGGCATGACACATTGATATATTAACTACGTATTCACGCAAAAGGCCTACAGGACTCACATGTATCAGGCCTATGTGTGTATTCAATGTTTATACATCAATATGCATTTACAAAAATGTACATTGTAGCATCATGTGTCTGTGCATATAGCCATACACGTTCATACAAATAATTATGATTGCACAAAAAATGTTACTTCAACTAAGGCCAAAAAAAAAAGTCTCCAGTTTCTGGTTTGGAGCTTGCCCAAAAAGTGGTGCGGCGACGCGGCTTTTTTTTTGTTTACCTGGTTTTTTTTGCTTTAAATGTCGGCTGATGACTGCAAATGGTGTCCGACTAAACTTAGTGCAAATATTATGGGAGACCAGAGAGGCCACATAAAGCTTATTCTCGATCATAACCCCATCAAAAAACACGTTAAAATTGTGCAGCAGCAGGATTCCAGTCAAACTGGAGTTTGGCGGTTTTGAGACATCATCTTTCATTGAAAAAAAAAACTTTTATATTAATCCCGAAAAATTCGGGATTCCTTTTCTTAAAATTGCTATTTTTCTGGCAATACTTGTTAAAAATTATTCACTTTCAAATGAGACATCGACCAAAATAAAATTGGCCCATGTTTAGTAAATTGAATTATAACTCCCGTTCTTGCGGGGTAGGCTGGTTCCCGCCCCCGACTGGGAGCCAGTATGTTCACAAAATGGATCTGTCTGTGCCAAAAAAAAAAAAAACCAAAACTGTTTTTCCGCCACAGGTTTGCAGACTTCCAAAAAAAAGGAAAAAATTGAGGTTTTGGCGTTGGATTTAAAAAGAACATTGGGCAATTCCACTGTTACTCACGTTACATTTTTGATGTACTTTTGAGTTTCCTTGGGCTGTAATTACCTTACTGGAAAGGTTTAATAACGGTTATCCCCATGGTAGATAGAGTAGACCTAGACCTACCTAAGCGCCGGTTAGGTAGGTCTAGGTCTGGTTAAATCGGTTACTCATGTTACATTTTCGTAACGTGAGTAACCAATTTTGTGCGTCTTGTTTATCATACATAACACATTTTTCTGGATGTCATCTTTGGTGCTTAGGTACATGTAGGTCTAAGTCTACTCTATCTACCATGGGGATATTGTTATTAAACCTTTTCACTAAGGTAATTACGGCCCAAGGAAGTACATACATGTACATGTACATCAAAAATGTAACGTGAGTAACCGTGGAATAGCCCATTTACAAGCTGAAAATGTACTAGCCCTAACTCTATCAAATCACCCCCCCCCCCCCCCTGCCCATTCGGGGTGATTTGGCAAATTTAAAGCCATTTGTACCAAGTCCATAAAAATCCACCTATAGCACTGGTGGTTTTGCGGTGGATTTCAGCGGATTTGGTCCTGAAGCATTATGTGAGGCAGACTCAGTCATGGATTTTGACGGACTTGGTACTCTAAGGTAGTCTTAGTACTTTACTCAGTAGGGAGTTAGGGTCATAAAAGAACAAAATGAATTTGTTTAAAAGCACGGAAAATGCAACTTTAATAAAATACAAGAAAGATCCCAGCAAAAATATAATGAGTGTACTGGTGACACTTGAATGATGTCTTCAATTTTATTCATGGCTATTGGTATTTGAAAACAGCAATAGTCAAGCATGCAACTGGGAATTTAGAAAAAATGAGGAAACTCCAAATCTCACAGGACTTTGTACAGTATTTTTCAATTTTTAATGGCATTCATCAGAACTTGAGAAGTAAAAACCGAGGAAATCAGGGGATCCGAGGAAAAGTTGCATGTACATTTCCAGACTGATATCAGGAAGGAAGGTCATTTAGATAAAATAAAAACAATGCAGTAATTGTCAGAAACTGTAACAGAACACCAGTTTATCTAGTCCATGAAATGGTGCATTAAGTTTTACTACAGTGTAGGTCTGTCCCTAGCCATGTTGCAAACCTGTATCTGAGCAACATACAGTTGGTATCTAGATAAAGGCACACAACTGATATTGGTAAAACTGCTTGTGCAGCGAAGGACATGCATGTACATTGTATGTTCATGTACATGTACATGTACATGTACCAGCATTATATGCAAACTGGTTGTCCAGTCTGAAACACCAGTACCTATGGTGTTCAAATCCTCTAAATCCAAGTCTTTCATTTTACATACAGCCTTGCTACATGTATCTTTTCAACATGGATCAGTTTTCTATGTCTTCTCTATATGAAATAATGAAGTTCAGGCTATTACTGTTCAATTCAGTTCAGTTCAGTCAAGGGGACAATCTACATTGGGGGATAGGGGGAGTCAGGTTGGCGTAGCGGTACTTTCCTCGCCTTCCACAGCTGTGACCCGGGTTCGATTCCCGCCTGGGCCAATATGTGGATTGGGTTTTCAGTCCCTACCTGATTCCGTGGGTTTTCCCCAAAATATTCTTTTGGGCTTTTCCTCCCACCTCTAAAACTGTAATATCTTCTCTTCGTCTACTCTCTGCAGGTTTCGTCGGGCTTTCAGGCTACAGTGCCTAGGGCACTTTTGAGGAATCCTTGGTTTCATTACCAGAAAGAAATAAAATAAATAAAATAAATACAGTATTCTGCGACAACTTGAGGCATTCCTTTGTCACGTCTTTTTAGTAACCCTAATCCCTAGTACATGTACATGTAGTTCCCCAGGATTACCCTGCTGAATCCAACAGAATTTGATGGTTACTCATATGAGTTTCCTGCTCAATCTAACATAGTCCTACACAACCCAACGTGGCAAGTTGTTGGGTACCTGAACATATAAAATGACTGGCATGCTCAATCCAACAGAATCCAACTGTTATTTTTTTTTCTGTTGGATGCAACAGAGTCCAACTTAGCGTTATCCAACAGAATCCACTGATCGCGCCCAATATTTACATCATGTGTAGTTGTTGGGCGCAATTGGTGGATCTGCGTAATCGGTTGATCGTGCTGCGCTATCGGGCGATCGTGCCACCAGCGGTCGATTGCGCCGCCATCAGTCGATCTCCTTTTCAATTGAAATTCACGGCTCTGGAGGATTGTTTTGAAAAAGGGGAGGAAAGTCTGAAATTTCCTACAAGATCGACCAATAGTGCAGCACGATCGACCGACACACAGATGCACCAATTGCGCCCAACATATGCATATAAAAATCTCTTTAGACATGAACCAATTTGTTTTTTATTCTTCCCCATTTTATGACTGATCATATTTTCAGACGCACAAATCATAATTAGGCCTAGGCCTATAGGCCTATCATCGAATCAATTTTCACTGGCGCTGGCCAGACGACTGTGCATACATTTAATGATTTATGCTTTTGAATGTTTGTCATCCTTTACCCACAATACAATCATCATTGACAATGCGAAATGTCAAATAAGTTAATCATGTTAATTGTCCCTTTCCAAATACTGCTGAAAAATAATACCATTAGTAATGGATGTCAGGAGTCGTGACTCAATAATGCATATTGTTAATGTTATTGTTATTTGTTAACCTCATTTCATTAACCTTGTTGACAATCATCACAATGACATGTCAATGGAAAATGACACTCATGAACGACGGTGTTGACATCTCCGACATCTTGTTGTTCACTTCAGATCCTCATCACCATGATCACTCATTCAATGTCTCTTATTTTGCAGATCTATAGGAAAGATTCCCATATCTGGCCATCACTTGTCACCCTGTGAAGTGTGTACAAACCCTATGGGACTGGTCTGAAAATGGTCTGAGTGTTTTCTCAGTAAAAATTCAAAATTTGTCCCTGCTAATTTTGACTTTTTACTTTTTTTTAGGACATATTATTACTTTCTGATGGCTGATACTAGGTCATTTAAGGGAAAAATTACTGATGGCCGGATATGTGAATCTTTCCTGCTATGGTTCAACATTCAATTTTCTTGATCGGTTAAGTTAGGCCTACACGACGTGCATGACCATGATGATGATGACCTGTGAAGTTACGAATCAGCTGAAGTCCCATTCCAATACACACGGAAATCAGGGATGGGAACGTCCGACTCAAAACTGGTCAACAAATCAAACGCTAATTTCACTCTTTTAAAATTGGGAACGTACTCGCTGAGGCCATAAGATTAACCACTATTCTATTCTGTACACCCATGAAGAATTACTTGGAAAAGAATGGCCGATTTACTCAATTACTTACATTTTTGTGGAGGTTGTTGACGGTGGTCCTGTAGAAAAATAAAACACCGCTGAGGCGAATCGAACAAAGATGGCGAGATTGGTTATGACGTCATCGTAATCCGGGCACCTGTGTCAAATCCAGGCCATTTCCCACACGGCGGCTTCGTGTCCAGCTGTGCCTTTAAGCTGACTCCAGAATCATTTAGACGCCTTCATTAGCAAAAGCTTATAAATATTCCTTGATTTTTGAGTTTTGTTTAAAGAATTCGGTGTTACTCAAGTAGATAATGTATTAATAATGGGCCGCAGACCACTAAGTAGGGTGCTTAAACTTTTCGAAGCCATATCCAAAACGAAACCGTGGTTTAGAAACCCCCAGCTGATTGAGTCCGCGTTTCGTTGGTCCCACATGCCCGCCTACCGCTAATTTCATTAGTTCGGCCGGGAGCCGGCGAGGTTAATCCCTGAACCGGCAGCTCAGCTATTTTTATCCGATTACTGCTTGATCCAGGAATTTGGGTATATATTAGTCACCGCATCGTGAGTTGGCTTTGAACATGGTCCGGTCACGGGTTGTTTTGTCATTGAACTTTGCATTGCGGTTTCACGATCCAAGTTCTGTCTACCGACAATTTTTTTTTTCAATGTAGGCCTACATTGTAAAGTTTTTTTCCGAATCATTTCATTTTAATACAAAGGAGGGAACAATTTTCAACATAACTGTATTTCTCAAAATATTTCCTATTTTTTTTTTTCGCTCTACGACTCATTGGTTAACTTAAATGCTCTTTGCTTCGGTAATGATAGGGATTGGTTGAGTGGTGTAAAAATATTGGAATAAGAGAAGAATCAAGTGTATGTGATAGAAGAAAACAATATACCTTAAAATAATAATGCAAGTAATGGGAAAGTAAGGGGCTTTATTTAATTCTGGCAGGCACATTTTTCGTTTTTTTTTACGCAATATTTTTTTCTTCAAATCCAGCTCTGCTAATACTCGGGTTGCGGTTCTCTGCGTAACATGTCACCGGAAGTAAAAGTGACCGGGGACGTTGGGGGAGGGGGAAGGGGGGGGGGGGTTGAGCCCCCCCCCCCAAGAGGTTGTCAAGTTTGTTTTTATTTTTTGGGGGTCAATTTTTTTTGGCTCCACAATATGACCGTGGTGAATATGGGGCCTATTTGCGAGAAGTACAGTGTAGTATTATTACAGGGGTGTAAATGGCGCCACCAACGTCAAAATAGTCCCCCCCCCCCCCAACGCGCGCACACACACAAACTTATTTTCCGCGGCCAAACAATTTCAGCAACATTTAAATAACAATAAAATGTGAGCCCCCAAGCCTCCACTGCTTTCAGAGAAGAACGAAAAGGCTTGTTCCGTGTCATGAGAGTACATCAAACTGCGCATAAAAAGCGCGGCAAATGATTAAACTTGATGAGTTTGAGCGAAAGATTTCCCTCAACAAGTGCATGCGCATCATCTAAGACTGGTTTCTTATGTCGTTTGCGCAATATGGTATATTAAAACTGGCAGGTTTTGAATACACAATACTTCTGGAAGAAATTCATTCCCCCCCCCTGGTTTGTACAGGGTGAATAAAAACAAAACTAAACCAAATGACAGGACCAATTTTTGAATGACATTTTACCTGTGGCACTTTCAAAATCTAGGATATGAAAGCCCGGTCATTAACCTTTCTTTGAGTACAAGAATCATTCAAATCACTCATGTACTTTTCAAGTTACGGAATTTTGAACACAAACACCGTTTTAATTTAAAGTTCTGTCCACGGATCACAAAAAAGTAAGTGTTATTTCAGCAAAACGAAAACAATTCTCACGGGGATGCAACTTGAAAAGTAGTACATGAGTGATTTGAATGATTCTTGTTAATCTTCTTCTAAAGGAAAGCTCATTGATTGTGCTTTCATATCCGAAAGTGCTACGGGCAAAACTTCATTCAAAAGTTGGTCCTGCCATTTGGGTTTCGTTTCGTTTGACTCACCCTGTACAGTCACCAAAGGACGACACATCAAACATCCGGAAAAAAATATTGAAAACCTCTTCAGCTCTTTTACTTCATGATGCAAAGGCAACGCTCTCAAACATTTTTGGCAATTCTGACAACGATGGTACATGCTATATACGTTTCAACCTAAATACACCATTCAAAAGCAAAATACAGTAACACATATCTTATTATAGGCCTATAACTTAGTACATTTTTGTACCCTTGAAATACGAATACTGACCTAAATTTGCGTCATTTATAAAACACCGTATATCAAAAAGTCATTATGTTTTTGAATACCAAATAGTGTACCTCAATTTCGTGAAACCGTTTCATGTACAAGTTTAATATTGGGGCGCTCACACAAAATGAAATGACAGTCAAGTATCTTGAACAAGTTACGTGTGCGATGGTGCGACCCAATGTTCATAGGTATTTTATATAAAATCCATTATGAATATCTGATCAAGTTATCAAATATTATTATTTATGTATAACACCGTTATATAAGAACATTGTTTTTGTTGGTTTTTATCATATTACGCCCATATACCTTTTCTATAATTTTAGAGGGCGTTCCCTGTAAACGACCAACTAAAACAATAACCTCAGAAAACAAGGAGATGAATACGTACCGAAAAATTAAGGATTTACCGCACAGACAAAGTACCATCTTCTATCCAAAAAATATTATTGACAAATTTACCATCTTCGCTTCGAACTCTATAAGCACAGAAACTATATCTTATGCTGAAATAATCACCAGAAAAGAATTTCATGTAATGGTTTTATTGAAATAGTTTACATCGAATTGTTTTTACTTGTACTTCCCAATTGTGGTATATTTTAATTTCTACACAGATAAGCCACACCCTTGTGCGCACGTGTGCAACATCACGTGACACTGAGTGCAGACGCCATAGATATTCTATATCTATGACAGGTGCCAACTGCGCGCGTCATACGCGTGTGACGTGAACGCATGTCGGATATTAATCACGATGTGATTGGTTAAAACATCTTAGGGGCGGGGCGTAATGGATCGATCAAGAGATAACGATCAATAATGAACGTCTGTTCATTTCGAATTTGAAAACTACAGCTTGATGATCACACGAAGAGTCAAAGAAGGACAACTTATAGGAATCTTTCGTGACTGGATTTTTGTTGGGAAACTTAGCGCAAAACGTTTGGACAGTTATTTAATGTTCCGTAAAAATATGAAATGTTGGCAAATATCAGAATACTCAAAAATAGATTTTAATGCAAAAACTGGAAACTTCATGCTCTGAAGCTCGGGCACAACAAAGAAAAGTCAAAGCTGACGCTTCTAGTACGTTTTCCAGGTACTTTTCCCTGTATTTTTAGTACTTTTTCTAGTACTTACAACTTAAGTCAGAAATAACATCTAAAAAAAAAAACACGATTAAAAAAATAAATAAAAAAGAATTACAAAAGCCTTTATTTGCTTTAGCTTTTCCAGGATAATACAATGAAAGAAACAAAATTCATCTGGACTTTTACCCCCATGGCCTAGTTTTTCCAAGTTTATCTGACTACATTCAACAGCTTATAAAACTTACATATTTGAACGACGTTTTATCATTTGTGTTATACTCAAAACAGTCACTTAGATAAAAACGAATATCATAAATCAATGAAGCAATTTTGTAGTTTAAGCAACTGTGATTGAATAAAAATCAGCATATTTCTATATCAGGTTCTGCCAATCTGAAAATATTAATTTCCCTCTATAGAAAAAGAAAAAAAAATCAGCTTAATAAGTAAAAGGCTTTTTCTTAGCTAACAGATAACGAAGTCTATTGTATTGACCCCCCCCCCCGAAAAAATGACGGTATTTATAATAACGCATTAAAGATGTTAACCCATGTTCTTCCAAAATTTGATTGTTTTTTTTACTCCTAACACTTTTTCAGTAGGTATGGTTTAACAAAAAAATAAGTCGGATTTTGAGCGTCTACAACCCTCTGAAAAAGGGCTTTCATTTTGTGCACAAATAACCCGCCCTGTGAGAGCCAAATTATTGTCTGGCAGCTAATAATTCAAATTTTGTGAAGAAATAATTCAATAACTAATGTCGGTGGATTTTTGGGGTTCAATGTCTCAATCAAAAGTGAATAACATTTACATTGCTTGGAAAACAGCAATTAAGAAAACAAGTCTAGTTTTTGGGGTGAAACTCGAGAAAAAGCACAGGGAATGATCTTTAAGCAAATTCCATTGAGTTGTATTACATTAATTTTCCCCATAGAAGATGGCCACTTCATGAAGCTGTTAACACAGAAAGTAATCCCTTAGCAGAAAATTCTCTTGCAAGGCAAAAATCAGTCGCAAGCACTTAACACTGAAGTATTTTAGCCTGCAACTTTTTTGTGTTTATTGCAGCCCCACGTAAAAGACCTCTTGGAACAATATCATGGAGCTCCTCAGGAGAAAGTAATGTCAAGCAAAATCTAGCAGAGAACCAGTCAATAGTTAGAAGAGAACCAGTCAATAGTTAGAAGAGAACCAGTCAATAGTTAGAAGAACCAGTGAATACCTAGCAGAGAACCAGTCACTAGTCAGCAGGGAACCAGTCAATAGTTAGCAGAGTACCAGTCAATATTCAGCAGAGGAACCAGTCAATAGCTAGCAGAGAACCAGTAAAAAGTTAGCAAGGAACCAGTCAATAGTTAGAAGAACCAGTGAATACCTAGCAGAGAACCAGTCACTAGTCAGCAAGGAACCAGTCAATAGTTAGCAGAGAACCAGTCAATATTCAGCAGAGGAACCAGTCAATAGCTAGCAGAGAACCAGTCAGAAGTTGCAGAGAGAACCAATAAATGGTCAGCACAGAATCAGTCAATAGTCAGATCAGCAGGGAACCAGTCAATAGTCAGCAGAGAACCAGTCAATAGTAACATATCACATTCATGATTGGCTGATAACCTAAATATTTCCTGTGAAACTGACCTTTGATCTTTAACTGTAAACTATGACCTCAGTTGCACAGTTTGTTGACCCAACACAAAGTTTCCTTTTTTACAAGTCAGCAAATCAAATCACACTAATTGAAAATTACAACTTCAATATTTGTTTTTAGTAATAAACCATGGTGTAATCATATCTCTGCTGCAAATTTTTAAAAAGCTGAACAAGCCCTGCAGTGTGTAAACCCCCACTTCTAATCTTAGGCTCCGCCCCCAACAAAGCGGCCAATTCAAAAACCACTGTGGCATTGTAAAAAGCCAGCTTTCAAATCTCAACGTACTGAATACTAGCCAAAAAATACATATATTTCAAATTGGCATATTATTTCTCTCTAAATAAATAGCACAAATATCACACAATTACCTGAATTAATTATAAAAAAAAAAAATTCATGAACACACCAGTGAGATATATTGCATTTATGAATATAGATTTTGTAAATATAATGAAGCATTTTATATCTAATTATGTACACTTTACCACAACGTAAAACTAAAAAAATAATTCATCTACATTTTTTTTTGTTTTAAATATACTCTGTGCCTTACAAGAAAAAGAAAAAAAGCAGTGAATACAGTTTTGAATTGATGAGCTGCATCAGCAGGTCGATACAGAATTTCTTCGAGTGTTTGAGCAGTCGCAGTCAATGTACAAAGCGCATTACCAAGGTATAATCACCAAGCTTAAACGACTTTATCGTATTCAATAGTCTTTTACATGCAAACAATATTTTAATAAGTCCACAAAGTATTTTCCAAAACCATTTAGACTTAAACCATTGATTGGTATACTGAGTTATGTTCACTGCACGAACAAATTTGCCGCCACAGTCTCGGGCGAAATAGCCCCCCCCCCCCCAAAAAAAGACCCATTCAAAAAGTACATAAATTGATACGATGAGCAAAATAAGCCTCTGTACTGATGATGTCAAACTTTGCTTACAAGCATGCTTTCTTCTGAAATTACTGATGACCACTTATGATTTTTGAGCACTTTGTTGCTTCAAACGAAAAAAAATGCACCAATGACAAATTGTCTACTTTACCTTTAATAGGAAGTATGTGTGCTTTGCAGTAACATGAGATTGGGTTTGTGTTCTTAAGCAAGACACTTGACTGTAACTGAAGACTGAAGAGGCTGGCTTTTTTTAGCAATGGGTTTAAGTAAAGTTGCCTGGTGGGTTGATGAGAAAAACTAGAACTTTTCAAACCATAAGTTCTAATGAAACTGTGTGAAGAAAATGACTTTGTAGGCGTGTGAAGTTTGCAGCGAATACAGAAAAAAATTGCTTCACTCAATCTGTCAAATGAAACGTCATTTGTCTCCTTTTCAAACAAAAAATAAACAGCTTACATTTACATTTTCTGTTCAACTTACGCAATATTAAAAATAATAATAATGTACAGCAATGATATAAAATAGGCAAAATAAAATTTACTGTATTCGTTAGAATAAATTTAATTATACAAAAAAATGAACAGAAATTGAGTTGAGTTAATCAAAAATAGGAGAGTTTTGGTAATGGTCTTGTAGTTGCTCTAAAAAATACTGAAGCATTAAAATATATACTAAAAATCTGTTTAAGTACAAACACAAGCTGAATTTACTGTTAACTTCTTCAACCAATCAAACAATACAATCATTACGTACAAAATAATAATAAAGACAATGCACCATTTAAATGACACTTAATTACGGATATCCGTGTAATGAAAAAAAGTCAACTTCAGCGTGTTTGTCGATGGACATGTAGGAGTTGATTTTACAAAACTCATCTTAAAGGTGCACTTTCGTCTGAGCCCCCCCCCCTCCCATTTTTTGCCTAATATTGTTCTTATGCCATATCTTTAGGTGTGGGTCATGGAAAATCCACATACTGGGTGAGTAAAAAAAAGCTGAACCCAAACCCCTGAAAATTATATTTCGTATTTAAGATATTGTGTACTACAGTTGTTGACAGTTGTTGAAACAAGTATTCTGTGTCATTTTCTTTGTTGTTCCAAACAGTCAGAATTCATACTAAACTGTTTTTTGAAGAAACAGGGTTTAAATGGTGATATTCTTTGAACGGATTGAGCAATTTCAGTAATTTTTCCATCTAAAAGTACCTTATGAAATTGGCTTCCCAGTCATTATTATGTTTAGTGCTACATCTTTTTTTAAATCTAAAATTTATTTTTGGAGGTTTGGGTTCAGAATTTTTTTGACTCACCCTGTAGCTTGATTTTTGAGCACCAACATTTTGTACCCAGTTATTCTTTTTGCATGATAATTACATGAAAACCACAAAGTTCTGAGGTGTACTTATGTGAATGTGAATATTTATATTTTACCTTTTAACGATCTACATGTATCAAACTATAATCATTTCATTAGAAATTGGTTTTTGAGTCCGAAGGACCCATTGAAGATGAAAAAGCCCCTTTAATTTAAGGGCTTTTACGATCCAACTATTCCATAGTTGGTTTTCTGATGGATACATGCGATACAAATGTTTTTAGATTCGATGGGATCTCTGAAATTTTCAGAAGACTGGTTGTATTAAGTGTCATACACTTTAAGGTTTTTTTTTCTGGAAGAATGCACATTTCATTTTGTTTCATTTACTTGTTTTGTGAACTAAAAAATATGTTGGACATTCAGGAAAGAGTCATAAAGTTTCAAAATTAGTCAACAAAATGGTAGCCTGTTCGTCGTACAGTTATTCATAACCACAAGTTAATTTTTCAAAACTAAATCACTTCTATCTAACCCTCCTGCCCATACAGTCTATGGTTGTATGTATTCACTGGAGAATAAATACAATGTAATACAATGCAGTACAGGTGTTAATCAGAGTTGTAATGACTCGAGTCAGTGACTCGACTGAAGTCACAATTTTTGGTGAATCGACTTGACTCGAGTCCCTAAGGGCAACTGACTCGACTCGACTCGACTCGAGTCACTGCAAGCAAATGACTTGACTCGACTCGAGTCCCTCATCAGAATGACTCGACTTGACTCGAGAAAGGCTAATGAGACTCGAGCCCCAAAAATAAATGCCAAACTTTGCGAAAAATATTTGCAATGACTTTCGCCGGTGCCGGTTTTTGTTCACGTCACATTAGAATATTCGCGAATAATGTATACATTATACATACGTGGTTTGATCAGCGTCCCCATTAGTTGAATGACGATCAGCTGGCACCCCCTTTTTATTTTCATTAAGAGTCAAATGTGGTGTTGCCACATGCAGTAGCCCGAATGTAAAATTTAAAAAGCTCTTGTGTTTATTTATTGTATGGTGCTCAAATATTTGTGACTCGAATTGACTCAAGCTAAATACTTGACTCGACTCGACTACACACTGTGACTCGACTCGATTCGACCGTCTTGACCTAATGACTCGACTCGACTCGAGTCACTTCTTTAAAATGACTCAACTCGACTCGAGTCACAAAAATAAGTGACTCGTTACAACTCTGGTGTTAATGGTTTCAACCAAACCAAAAATTAAAACTACCTTGTTGAGTCTGTGTTGGCAGGGACGACATCGCCGCTCGTTTCTCCCCCGCCTCCTGCCCCGTTGGCCCCGCCCCCTTTCCGGCTGGCCTTGCGCACGGCCAGCGTCAGGCACTGAACCCACTGTTCCGCCCCCTTGCCATCCTTGGTCTTGAAGATGTAGGTCTTGTCCTCGGTGAAGATCTCGAAGGCCTTGGGGATGCTGCGCTCGTGTCGCCGGCCGCCATGGACCGTCTTGACCCCCTGGACCTTGCTCAGCTCGATCGGGAGCGCTGGCTTGCTTTGCTGTTTTAGGGGATGGAACGTAAAATAAAATGTAAATTTTGTGGTTCTTGAAGGCCAGCCTAGAGTCCTCTTTGTACCCATCTGACTGACTGACTGACTGACTTAAGAAGCGCCTCAAAAGTTGGGAACGCTCCCTTCCATATTGAACGTTCCTTTTAGGAACACTGCGCGTTCCCGATGGGAACGGGCTGTGTTCCAAGCGTGTTCCCAACTGGAACAGGCCGTTCCTGAGTAAGCGTGCATGCGCACAGACCAACGTTCCCACGCGGGATCACCTGGCATTCCCAGGCTGTTCCCAGTGGGAACAACGCGTGTTCCCAACTGGAACAGGCCGTTCCTGAGTAAGCGTGCATGCGCACAGACCAACGTACCCATGCAGGATCACCTGGCATTCCCAGGCTGTTCCCAGTGGGAACAACGCATGTTCCCAACTGGAACAGGCCGTTCCTGAGTAAGCGTGCATGCGCAGTGACCAACGTTCCCACGCGGAATCACCTGGCATTCCCAGGCTGTTCCCAGTGGGAACAACGCATGTTCCCAATTGAAACAGGTGATAATCCCCCGGGGAACGTTCCAAGTGTTCCGACTTTTGAGACGTTCCCTTAAATACTGACTGACTCACTGACTGTCACTTGTGAGCCAGCAGTGCTACCATATGTGACCTGTCATAGCATAATGAGGAATAACCCCCACTTTTGACTTTTCACGTTATGTACATCATGTTAAAGCACAAATCATTGGCTTTCCAATGACACCAAATTTATTGCTATAGCTTAATTTATTCCAAAGATATGACGCAGGAACTTCAACAGTGTCCTGCCAAGTTTCTCTAACCTCATTTCGAGAAAAAACAGCTTTGAAAAAAAGACACACATTGCGCCACCAACGGCAGTGAAAAATGTTCTTCAGTTTTTCCACTTTTGTGGGTATTTTTTCCCAACAAAAATGCATAAGTGTGAATCTTTGATACCTTGGCTACTCAAAAATACAAAACAATCAAAAACAATGTTAACATGATTTTCCTAGTATATCTGACTTCAGGCCATTCGAAAAGCCATTCGCAATTTTGTGATCTCTTGGACTACAGTCGTTTTGCGACTGGTTCCCGCATTCTGCTTGGCCCTTGATTTTGCTGAGCACCATTTTCAGCTTGGCAGCTCTACGAAGTCTGCTAGTGAAAACGCTGTTTCAAAATATCAATGGGATCTCTCTTGTGGACATGCACAAGGCAAATTCAATACAAACAGGGAGTTCAGAGCATGTACATACTGAGTTGCTTTTTGTGTAGAGTTGCTCTCCTGCAAGAGTGAAGTAGCGGGTCCTCCACCGGCGGAAAAGCTTGAAGCGAACTTTCTTCTCTTTGAGTTGACCTTCAATGAGGGGCCGACCTCCGGTTGCAAGGTCTGGTGGAGAAAGAATATTGCTTAGTATAGGAAGAAAGAAGTCTCATGCTAGTCTGGTCAAGTCTCAAGTCAATCTGGTCAAGTCTCAAATCACTTTGGTCAAGTCTCAAGTCACTCTGCCAGAGTGACTTGAGACTTGACCAGAGTGACTTGAGACTTGACCAGATCAAGTCTCAAGTCACTCTGGTCAAGTCCCAAGTCACCCAGGTCAAGTCTCAAGTCACTCTGGTCAAGTCTCAAGTCACTCTGGTCAAGTCTCAAGTCACTCTGGTCAAGTCTCAAGTCAATCTGGTCTAGTTTCAAGTCACTCTGGTCAAGTTTCAAGTCTCTCTGGTCAAGTCTCAAGTCACTCTGGTCAAGTCTCAAGTCACTCTGGTCAAGTCTCAAGTCACTCTGGTCAAGTCTCAAGTCACCCTGGTCAAGTCTCAAGTCACTCTGGTCAAGTCTCAAGTCTCCCTGGTCAAGTTTCAAGTCACTCTGGCTAAGTCTCAAGTCACTCTGATCAAGTCTCAAGTCAATCTGGTCTAGTTTCAAGTCACTCTGGTCAAGTCTTATGTCATCCTGGTAAAATCCTAAGCCTTTTTTGTCAAGTCTGAAGTCACTCTGGTCAAATCTCAAGTCACTCTGGTCAAGTCTCAAGTCACTCTGGTCGAGTTTTAAGTCACTCTGGTCACTTCCCTCGACTCAAATCTCATGACATAGTAACATAAGAAATATGGTTTACCGAATTTACTGGGATTGTTACAGATGAAGCAGTTCCAAACAGACTGCTGAGGATTATATGTGAAGAGATCATAGAAGCTTCCTTTGTTTAAAACAGCCGTTAGAGCTTGCTGAACCTGAAACACAAATGGGAGAAATAATACTCCTGATGTATCAAAAGGTTTTTCATGATATGCAATGAAGTTAAAAATGGGGAAAATGTTGTCGGGGTTTAAGTTGCCCAATCTGTGGGGGTGTCCACTCTTTGGCGCATCCGAATAACTTGGCCAAGTTTGGCAGAAACATGTTTGTCTAAGGGAAGTAGCCTCAGCTAGTTCCATAGGCTCATACGCAATTGCAAGTCATTGGCAATAAATTTTGACTTAGCCTATAGATGTCTTCATTGCATTCATACAACTTTCCATTGTGAAGAGCTCCACCTGATGTCTAATGGTGTCTCGCCCCCTCTTTCTAAAAGGTCTCAATACACTTCACAATTATTACCCCTGTTCATCAGGCCATGAGACAATTTTTCTGAAGCAGCTTGAGATCGGCGCAATCTGGTCTCTACCCTCACAGATACCCATTTATACTCCAGGGTGGCGCGAGACAATTGTAGTTAACTGTCTTGCCCAAGAACACAAGCACCATGTTCCCCATCAGGGGTTCGACATGAGTCAGACATCGCGAACATTTCAGGATTCGCCCTATCATCACTCATCCAAGTTACCCAGACAAATCTATGCCCTTGCGCATTACCTTAGACGGCGGGAAGTTCTGGGTGATGAGTTTGAGGAACGTCATGGTGCCGCCGACCGTCTTCTGTCGTTCCCAGTTCTTGCGTAGACTCTGCACTGCCCTGTCGTCGAGGGAAACGGGACTAGGAGACGTAGCCTAAGACCAGAAAATTGAAGAGATCAATGAAAACAGTTCAGTATTTAGCTCTGTACATCTCTGTCCATCTGTGTGTTTAAAATGCAACACAGCACCATTACTAAGACACCTCAACCAGTTTTTGGTTTTTGCATATGCTTAGGTTTATTCCTAACTTTTTGATGCTTTGGGTATATTCTTATTCAGTTGAACACTGTACAAACATTGATACTATACCCCTGTTCAAGAGACATGCACAGACATGTCATGTGTCATTTATTAGCTATTGAGGTCCTTGAGAGACGTATGCACTTTTAACCATGATTCATAAATACCTTAAAGGCAGTTTACCTATTCCTATTGGTTGAGAGCCCGTCATGTGGCCAGTTTTAAACGGTTGATAAAGACATGGCTTGCTGGTCTTAAACACTTTTCCAGTGTCACATGAAATTTTGACTCCTATGAAATCTGGTGCCAGTACCGTTTTATTGGTTGAACATTCACAATCCTCACGTAGGCATGCGCAACGTGAGTCAGTCATTGCCTCATCCCAGGACTATGACATTATATTCACGAACTTCTCCCAATTTTTTGCGACAAGTGAGTCACTAACCTGCAACTGGAGGAACTTGAGGTGGATCCAGGGCTGGATCTCTTTGGTCTCCACGGCAAACGGGGAGGTGCTGTACAGGCAATGCTGGCCCTTCCTCTGGCAGTAGAAGTCCAGCCGGCCAACGGGATTCCTCCCGGAATTCTCTGTGACAATCATCAGGCAAGCCAGACAAGAATTCAAACTTCTTGGAAACGTTCTAGTTCTGAGATCATAACCCTTACAGTTCATGTTCCCGGTTATATAATACTAACCAATACTCACTGGGCATCCACACAAAATCATCCACTGTACATGGATGACAAATGCGAGGCATTCTGACAAAATGAGACAGAACTGGGCGGAGGTGGAAATGAGAGTTTCCGGGTATTAGGATATAGAGAATAAAAGTCTTATTAGGCCAAAAAAAATAAGAAAAATAGTCGGTCTCTGGTCAGACCAAAGTTCCAGAATTGATGTTGCGACGGGGTTTTTTGGCTTTTTTTTCAAGCTTGGATTGTACAGACAAGGTGGGTACTATTTTTTGCTTTTTTGTGTCCTCATATACATTGGTGTCCTCCATAATTTGCCTTGGTGCCCTCCATCATTTGCCTTTGTGCAATTTCCCCATTCCTTGGTACAAAAATTTGAGGAGGTGCGGCAATAGAAGGCGCTGTCGTAGCTACCGCGGACAATTTGAAAAAAAAACAACAGATTGACGCGCATGATTAAAATCGATGCACGCGCTGACCAGAGACCGACTATTTTTTTTTTTGGCCTTACCATACTGCTTGTTGCAATTCAATCGGGCATTCCGTTGATGAGTTATGGCTGTATAAAGTTTGCATTTATCGACATGTCAAAAAAGCTTTGCATTTGTGAAAATGAAAGATGGCAATGTTTTTCCTTTAAAACACTTGTATTCAACGATTTTTATAATATTTATTTTAATAAGCTCGATCGGATCTCCGAAGTTGCGGGCCAACAAATTCGTGTTGATGCATGAGTCTCGTAATTGTGACATGTAATTTTTTGAAGGAGTAGTGTTTTGAGTAAAAGATCAGATATTTGACCTCGGTGACCCCATGATGACCTTTGACCCCAGTTTGGTCATGTGACATGTTGGGGCTGGGCTACTGATTTTTTTGACAAAGTTTGGTTGAAATCGGTCAAAATATGTAGGAGCAACAGACAATGTCAACGTTTATAACGGACTAACGGAGAGACATAATGATTTTGCTGCTATTCCGCAGCCAAAAACATGCATAGAAGACATATCAAAGATTATATCAATAAATCTGAATATTGAAGAAAAATCTCCCCCGTTCATTTTTTTCCTTTCATTTTTCTGCACTACGGCCTGTGCCCAGTTTCGTCTCATTTCGCCAGAATGCCTCACAAATGGCAAATTTTTGTGCTTAACCCATTAGTCCCTGTAGCACTCTAAACCACCGCGCCTGTTACTCCCTGTGCTGCCCCAAACCACCAGATCAGTCTGCATTTTTACCGATTCATCAGGGATTCAATACAATGTAATACATTGTAGTACAGATACTACTGGGTTAAAACTTTCAAGGAACATCAAGCCCCAAAGTAATCCGCAATCCTGCAAAAACTTACAAACCTCCTTGTTCATTTTGTAGGATCTGCCAGGGTTAGGGTTAGAGACTGAGTATAAAAGTTGTTGTGACCGTGGCATTACGTAATATGTTGGTTCGTTTACTTGAATCCCTCATAAGTAGGGTTTGCTCTAGAATTACAAAATTTTTTTTTTTTGGGGGGGAGTAAATTGATTCATTTTATTAAAACTTCCACAAGATTTGAAGTGATTATGATAGATCTGAGTATTAGAGGGTCTGAGTGAGCAAGTTTTGACTCTACCTCTCACAGAGCACTCGTCAGGCACAGGTATCCTCTTTTTGATGGAGTCCATGTAGCTGATGATCTCCTTCTGCCGCTTGGACAGGTACATTTGTAAGCTGCTGTCCCGGTTGCCTCCGGCTGATTTCAACGAAGAGGAAGCTTTAACCCCCTCTAAGGACGTAGGTCCTCTGGATGCCTCCAAACCAACCTTTATTCCTTCCAAAGGCACTGGTTTGCTGCCTTCAACAAGACTGGTCCTGACTCCGACTGGGTCACTGCCATTGGCTTCCCGTCCTAGTTGACCGCCTTCCTGCACATGCATCCCGCTGCTGCTACCATTTTGGCTGCTTCCAACAAGTCTTGAGTTGGTACCCCCATTGACAATACTGCTGGGTCTTGAAGTCTCCTCTTGGTAAAGATTCCCCTTGCTGCCAGCACTAGCAGCTCCCTCCTTGTTGCTGATCCGACGCTGGACATCGGATTTCTGTGAGGAGGACGACGGAGCCGGGCTCTTGCCTTTGGTCTTGGTGAGGGTGGACCCTGCCATCTGTAAGCTAGTCCGGCTCTCCGTGAGCGGGACAGTTTCAGAATGGCTTTGGGATCTCAGTTTGATCTGTTTCATGCTGTCAAGGTCCTTTAAGGATCCTGGCTTCTCTGATGGCATCAAGGCAGCTGAAGACGTGGATGCGGTCAGCTTCTGGACGCTGCTGAGAAGGTGGTCGACGGAGCCCCTGTTGGAGGCCTTGCCCTTCCTGTAGTGCATCCGTCTCTCTGGCTCCATGCCCATCCTGTGCATCTCAGACATGCTCATGCTCTTGCTGGGAGTCGGTGGGGTTGATGATAGCTCCTTCATTCGCTTTGGTTCCTCTTGTGTAGCATCTTCTCTCAGAGCGTCATGTTCACTGATTTAAGAAAAAAGGAAAAAAAATACACAGAAAAAGACTTGGAGATTATGTGATTAATTGAAATAAAAAGCTGTATATTTCTTAGTAAAATTCTGACTGTTATTTGATGACAAGCTACAAAAAAAAACCCCAAAACAACAAACTAACGAACCTTGGCTACACAATTGCATAGTTTGACGGTACGAATAGAGACTCCTGAGAGATGGGTAGCTGCCGATCGCGGCATTTCCACCTAAAATTTGGTTTGAGGCTCAGTTTTGTTGAGGTGATGGGCAGAAGAATAACCATCACAACATTATTTTGCTGGTCAACTTTTAGAGCTTAGGAAACATTTTCTGCCAAATTTGGCCGGGCTCAAGTTCATTGAGTGGACAGGCAGAAAAATCTGAGAGCCAGTCACAGTGCAAAATTTCGGCTGGAAATATGTTACTGCTAAATGCTAAGCAATTAATTTCTGTATTTCGTGGTTCTCATTAAACAGGGCCTCTGAAATCAAGCCTATGAACCTGTCGCAAGCAATATGCACAACATATGATTTTGGCTGGTAAACAAATTTTGTTTTGCAAAAAGTTTATGCGCTTAGCAAATTCATACAAATACATTTTTATAACACCTCCCCCACAGATTGTGTATCTTGATTGGCCAAGAGCGAGTCATGTGGTATTCACTATGTTTGCTATCTTGCTGTGGACGGCCAAAAAGACTATACACATTGCAACCAAAGTACTACACGCACAGCGTGTAGTACTACATGCATACGGGTTTGCGAGTTGCGCGTATTGTTCTCAAGTGCTAGCGCTACAACCTCGGTTCCAACATTTTGTGAAGGGGTGGATCGGAAAACTTCAAGTAAATTTTCAAGTAATGTCGTATTAAAATAGAAATACATTTGAAGTGTACAGATTAAATTAATTAGTTATTACTTAAAGGTAGAGTCCATCATTTGCAGCCATCCGAAAAGTAACTGGCGTAATTATTGTTGAAAAACTAACTTTGTTGAAAGATAGTAAGGAGACTAAACTCCCTGTGAAATTATTCTTTCTGGGAAGCTGTCATTTTGAAGTAATCAACGAAAGAAGGCATTTCCAACGGTGATTCTTAAGAAGCACCGTAGGAAAATTTAAATTAGTAGTTCGTTTTGTTATTCAGCGAAGCGCGCACAAGTATTCGAACGACGCACACGCGCGCGGTTGTTATAATTCGTCGGATCAGTGCGCGACGTCGCGTAAAGTTGCAATTCAAAACAATTCAAAATATGATTCAGCAACTTTTGATTTGAAATTGAGATCTTAGAATGCTGTTTTTCTCGGAATGTACAGCTGAAGCTTAGCTGAAACTTCATCAGGTTAGTTGCTCAGTATCCTTCATTAGATTTTGAACTCTTTTGTTACTTCAAACGAACAAAATGCACAAATTACAAATGATGGACTCTACCTTTAAAGTCAATCAGAATCTGTGGGTGAGGCGCTATAAAACAAATATTGACTGCTTTAACTCGTGGTATAGTAAAACTATCCTCCCTCGGTGATCCATGGAGCATTCTACTTTCCCTCAGCTTCGCCTCAGGAAAATAGAATGCTTCATGGATCACCTCGGGAGGCTAGTTTTGCTACACCACTCGGAGCAGTTAATACTTGTATAATATGTTTAGTAAAACTAACCTATAAGTCATATCCTGTTGGAGTTGCTGGATGATCATTCGGGCAGCCATGGAGGGGCTCTCCCCTTGTAGGGAGATCTCGGCGATATGGGTGCCCAGCAGGCCAGAGTGCTGGTCCGCGATGCTCTTGATCTCAATCAGGACGGCAGGCAGGGAGGTCTGGTCAATGGCTCCGAGCTGCTCTACCAGGAAGGCCATGCACTCCTTACCGCTCACCTGAAACAAGCCATTCAACATTTTTGAGTTACGAAGTACAAAAAAAGTAAAGTCTGTCGCGAGCCAATGTGGCTCATCAGACCGGCATTTATCTGCGGTTTCAGTAGCATGAAACGACTGAGAATATTTCTACTCCTCATGGATGGGATGCTAGTCCATCGCAGGTTACTCCCCAGCTAATGCTGGTACCCATTTTATACTCCTGGGTGGAGAGGGGCAAGTAGGGTTAAGTGGCTTGCCCAAGGACACAACATATGACCAGCAGCTGGATTCGAAACCCCAGACCCACTGATCATGAGTCACGAACCCTAACCACTAGGCCACACACTCCCCCTTGAGTTACGAAGCCGAGGGTATTTTCTTCAATAATCTTACCATTGCCCAACTACACAGAATCTGTTCTTCCTGACAACAGCAAGTTGGGTGAACAATTACGGTATTTCAATGTCGGAATCCTCTAACCAAATACACTCTAGTTTACTAGTGGTGTGCATTTACGGGTAGTTTGGGACCAGGTACCCTATTGAAAAAAAAAACGGGTACCTGGGTACTCGTAAAAGAAACCCAACCCTAAAATTCAAATCCCGGAAGTTGTCTGAAGGGCTTTATAGCTTTACGGTGTAAAACTGCAACATTTGCGAGTGTTATCTTTTACTTGTCAAAATGCAAGTAAACGTGAAATCTGTTTTGGTTTTTCATGTGGCTTGGTTTTCATTTTGAAAATCTCCACAAAATGGCATCAAACCTTTCTTTTTCATTGTCTGAGAAGTTACAGCGTAATCTGTAAAGGTGGTTAGGGGTACCTGATCCCATAATCTGAAATCGGTTCCTGACATCAGCGGTTAGGTACTCTGGCACGGGTTCAGTTGCACAAAGTTGCTTACTGGCACAGTTACCCAAATAAAACTACATGGAACATTATAAACAATGAGAACATCATGATATTTTCCCCAGAAAACAAAAAAGGGGGAAAAGGAGGTGCCTGTAAATTGAGCTAAAATTAGGCAATAGGTTGCCTAACGTGTGGGACTTGAACAGGTTCAAAAAAATCCCCAAGTTTACCTGTAAAAAACACTTTGACTTACACATAATTATTAAAAGTAACCACAATATCTTATCTTTGAACTTGATTCCGACCATATGCCACCGGACTATCTCTGTATTTAATTTTAAAAAACCTACACTTCCTTTGAAAAAAAAAATCTGTTTTACCTGATTGAGTCTGCCAACTGCCCCGAAGATCTTCAGCGCCATGCTGAGCAGCGACGGCTGCCGACTGATAGCGCCCTCAAGGTCCGTCAGGCACGAGGCAAAGGGCCGAGCGTCTACCGAAGCCACGTCCACCAGAGCGGCCAGAACGGTCTGAGAGGAGTTGGGAATGGTCAGGCACTTGACCAGCAGCGGAACGTGAGCGAGGAGAAGCTACGGGGTAGAGAAGAGATGGAGTGATTGACTCATTTGACTGTGTATTTCACTTGTGCGGGAACGACAGAGGAGGGCGCTATGCTACAAACTTGTAGCAAACAAAGGCATGTTAAGGGACGTGGATTTTTTTGACATGTCATACAGAATGCATACCAGTCAAGTCAGGTTTTGCCAAACTTATTAGACTGGTTCCTACGCCAATCACATAAAAATAAATTGTAAATAACTTGTAAGGCTTATTATAGCGCTTTCCATTGTATCAACAATCTCAAAACGCTTTACAATTATTCCCCCGTTCATCAGGCCACACGAACACGCTGCAGCTGATGTCAGAAACATTCGGTCCTCTACCCTCACAGGTACCCATTCATACTCTTGGTTGAGAACGGCAATTAAAGGGAATATAATACAACACATTTGCAAACATAAACAACAAAACTACCAAATTATTATGAAATACCTTACTAGACTGCAAGTGAAAAGAGTCTAAAACATCCTGTAAAATCATGGCACCTGGTTTGCTGACATTTTCAAGAAAAGTGGTATTTTTGTATCAATTTCCAACGCTGGTCGGCCAACCAAGCTCTTGCATAGTTACGTAAGAGACGCTCGGCATCAATACATTGTTCACAATGGGTGAGAATGGTGCAAAGACACCAGACCATGCCGGAGCTGGGGGTTGCTAGCGTAAGGCTTGCCGCGAATCACGTGATATAGTTACAGTCTCTGTGATCAGGAGAACGCAAAGTGAAAACGTTCAAAGCATCCGATTAGGTCAGCGATCCAGATTTTATTCAAATTTAACTCGCAAAAGGCTAATTCCAGAGTTGGGTGTTATGGGCTCCATGCGCCAACGAAGAGGGCGCCCTTTTACCTAGCAACGACGTCCCATGGGCGGGACATTCCGCTGGTTGACGCCGCGCACCGTTCCTTGTGTGTGACGCACGTACACCAGGGGATTTGTATTATGTACACGCAGTGGCTGCGCTTGGCGGCAAATGAATTGCAGTCAGGCAAGATGGCGTCGGTCGGTCACCCCAACTGTAATTTCTTTGCCGGTGAGGGGGTACTTGTGAACGGAGCGGATACAGTGTGATGGATCACTGATGACTTGCAGTTCTGGATACCACCTGTCTTCAAGGGATGCCTTTATGTCCTTACTTAACCTACCTTAGGGTTCTGCTTGGCCACCAGGCTGACCAGCTGGAGAAGGTGTGCCTTCTCGGTGTCGTCGCAGCGAGGCAAGATGTGCAGCAGCTCGTCGACGTTGGCGTCGATGGGAGCCGGTTTCTCCAAGTAGACCTGCGGTAGGATGCGAGCTAGGGACCGGTTACCTTGGAGGAATTGACAGAGATTCCATTAAAGGGAAATCATTAGGAAACTTTGGGTTTGAACTTCAGGTACTTTGTGACCCCTAGTGAGAGGAAACAAGTACCAAGTGGTACTACCCACGACGTTTCCGTAAATTTGGCAATGCACTGGGGCGTGATCTGATATGCTAATTGGAAGCATGCGCATCAGTGTCACAAAACTGTAGGTATTCCATAGACTCACTGGCAAAGCTGTGATACACGGGTGGCCTGGAACAGTACAATTCACCCTGAGTAAACTGTCTACTACCCCCCCCCCACCAACCAACCAACCAACATAAGCAGCTCAAGCCCACAGCCTGTTTCACACCGCCGTGGGTAAAACAGCATGCGCCCACTGGTTACCATGCGAACACATTTTTTTTTTATCCAATAAAACCTCTGGTCAATGTACCTTTTTGCTAATAATTTCAAATGTATGTGTGCATGTGCATAAATGGGCCTGGCGGCAAGAAGCGAAAAGGGTCCATTGAAATTGTACAGGGGTACAACCATTCTGCTCATTTTCTGTCAATTTCTGCAGGATTTGTAAGTTTTTTTCTTTAGAAATTTGAAGACTGCTTCTGTACAGGTAGGCCTACGTCTTTGCATGTAACCACATCGCTCGCTACACGTGCATTGGTGCAGTCTGTTGGTGCAGTCGCACTGTGTGACTGTCAGCGCGTGCTGCATTACACAAGCACAATTCATGGACCGTGTGTGTAGTCGCTTACAGTGCAAAGTGGTACGACTACTAAGTCCCGGGGCAAAGATAGGTAATCGCGGCATCACCATCAGTCGCGGCATAGCGAAATGACTAGTCACGGCATAACGACTACTCGCAGCATAACGACTAGTCTACTATTTAGAAATTGATAGTCGTGACTACCAATCCTTTTTAGTACAGTGGAATGTCGCTATACCGAACACCGCTATACCGGACATTCGGCTATACCGAACACCAGCCTTGGCTCCCACATTTTGTGTACGAAACGTACCGAAGAGCGACAAATGGCTATTATTTCCCCAGTGAAAAGTAGGAAAAACCCATCCATGTAAGCTAAAAACCTGTGTAATTACATGATTCAATCATCGCACGTTTTCGAACTCGTCTTTCAGTAACTACCCGGGCATACTTGGTGAAGTTCTGCTAAAGAATTGAAAATATTAATGTTCACGTTTGGCGACTCCACGTGTGGTTTGTAAAAATTAAATGCAACTGCACAACAACAATGATCAAAAGAGGGCGCCACTAATGTGTGAAATCGCTATACCTAACGATCGCTTTTTCGAACAATTTATGTGGATCCCACAATGTTCGTTATAGCGACGTTCCACTGTATTGGCGACTGGTCGACAAGTCGCACTAGTCGTACATGCCTAAAATACGTGCGCGCATGTCGGACTTTTGTGCACGCATGTTGGACAAGAATCACGGCTGTGACTGGTCAAAACTTCACGGGCGGGGCTTAATAGCAGATAGAAGGAAAAATAGTAAGCGCTCACCACGTATGATGCTATCGATGATGTCGTCGCAGTGAAGCGCTAACAGGCTAGCGTTGTCGATGGCTGCCAATGCGAGGTAGCTGGACATGTTGCGACTGATCTCTCGGTTCTCGTGCTTCAGGAACTGCACGGCCACAGGCAGCACTGTCTTCATGACTGAATACTTGCTGTAGTTTTGCTGCGTGAAAAGACAGAAAAAATTTCGACAAAATGGCTAGGCTGTTTGAAACATATCTGAAGGCATGGGGGTCATTCAATAAATTTTGGGTCCAAAATGTGACATTTTTCTGTCCCTGTTAGCCTAAATTATAAGTTTAGCAATTATTTTAAATACTATTTAACCCTAACTCCCTAGGCCTTTTTGCTAGGATGTAGCCTCAATCCTGCAAAATCCTCCAATTGGCCCCATGGAAAAATAGCATATAGCCTCAATCCTGCAAATTTCTCCCGCTATTTCTTGAATATGGTCCATGGAGGGGTGACCACTGCCTGAATCCTGCAAAATCCTCCGGCTATGACTGTCAATAGGCTGAGGCAGAGGCAGTGACATTCTGGAGCAGTGCGGAGGTTGTCAAGTATAATCAAGGACTAAATTTATGCACGGATGAGCATAAACAACACAAGGTCCGGCCCAAGACCTTGACACAGTGCGTACTCCGAAATCAGCAACGCACTTTTGCCATGTAACCTCAATCCTGCAAATTCCTCCAATTTGCAAAAAGGATTTTGGAGGATTCAGGGCGGTTAGGGTTGAAGGTTAAAGCGTTTAGCCATTTCATAAAGGCCAACGCAACACAACTGCATGATTTTTAAATGTCATTTTCTCAAGAATCAGTTTCACAACTTTAAGTAGGTTGGCGGTCTATATTTCCGTTACAAAACTCAGTACCCTTTAACCCTAAACTTCCAAAATCGTCCAAAATGCTCTTCGCAAAACGGAGGATTTTGCAGGATTGAGGCCATTATGGCAAAAATGTGTGGCTGATTTTGGAGGATGCACTGTGTCAAGGTCTTGGGCCGGTCCTTGTGTTTTTTATGCTCAGCCGTGGATAAATTTAGGCCTGGATTATATTTGAAATCCTCCGCACTGCTCCAGGATGTCACTGGCTCTGCCTCAACATATTGACAGTTATTGCTGGAGGATTTTGCAGGATTGAGGCAGTGGTCACTCCTCTACCGACCACATTCAAGAAATAATGGAGGATTTTTGGATGATTGAGGCTGTATGCTATTTTTACATGGAGGCAGTTGGAGGATTTTGCAGGATTGAGGTTACATTCTAGCAAAATGCCTAGGGAGTTAGGGTTAAGGTTGTATACCATTGGAAAGCTCCCGTTCTGTAGAATCCATCTCAATTCTGAAACAGTCCGATTTTAAGCTCAATTTCTAATGACACGTCACATTTGAGTTCAACACTGTCTGGCTACTTACCATGAAGAGACAGCTCATGATGTCCGATGCAATCTTGGCATGGGGAGGGTCCTCGTCTCGTGCCAGGGGTTTCAGGTTGTGCTGCAGACAGGAACTCCAGAGGGACACCAGCGCCTCGGCGTGCTGCTCAATCGTGCCGGTATCCCTGGGGGAAAAAGAACGGTTAAGGGAAAGTGCGAGCATGAATAACGGGTCGACCAGTACTCAATCTCTCCTTATCAACATTGTTATTCAACGGAGGGTCAGACTGCGGGCAACTTCGTTCACCATGGGTACGATCTTGCTGCGCCATGTTAGTTCCCATCATGCTACTTCCAGAACCGTAAGTTTTTGCAAACCTTACAGAAAGACCAATTGAAGTTGCTGTAGCAGACAATTCTCCATTTTACAAACCTCCAAACTCTCCTGTCGCGAAATGTTCGGCCTGAGTATTTCACAAGTATTATCTTGATGTGGATAGGTAGCTCTAGGCTAGGGTGGGTTGAAATCCCTCAAATGTCAAACAAAAATGTGAAATTTACCAGAATTTCGTTCACCAGGATCACAGGAGTCTCGCACTCAGCCGTCTCTCATCATTTACTGTTGACTGAGGCGTGTTAATTCTCTTGACCAACTACAGCGTGGCTATCATTTCATCGCGCGAGGCACGGAAACACTCTCGGAATGAAAGCCGCCCTGTAGTTGGTCAAGAGAATTAAAGGGCCCTCAGTCGACAGCAAATGATGAGAGACGGCCGAGTGCGAGAATCCTGTGATCCTGGTGAACGAAATTCTGGTAAATTTCACATTTTTGTTTCACATTTGAGGGATTTCAACCCACCCTAGAGGTACCTATCCACATCAAGATAATACTTGTGAAATATTGAGGCCGAACATTTCGTGGCAGGAGAGTTTGGAGGTTTGAAAAAATGACGAATTTTCTGCTACAGCAACTTCAATTGGTCTTTCTGTAAGGTTTGTAAAAACCTAACAGTTCTGGAAGTACCATCATACCTTGCATGATCTTAACCCCTGGAATTGTGTCATTTAATTACATGTATCCCACTTTTTGGGAAATTTAAATTAGAACTGCAGTCGATGCATTTAAGATGCGACGCAGTGTTTTCAATTTATATAATTTACAGAGCCTGATGGCCACCAATACAAAATCGCATTTGATGTTTGTTAACCTAAAAAAATAATAATAATTCTATACTTCAACTTAGCTTGAGTAACTCCAGCTCCAATGCTCATCAGGAATTGGACATGTATAGAGCTGGAGCTACAACTATGTTGTAGATACAGTAAACTCCTGCTAAACCCACATCGTACAACTCGTCAAATCGCTCAAGTCGGCCGTCTGACTAAAGTCCTGATTGTCCGTAATGCATTTCCATTGAATTTTTTATTTCAAAGTCAGCTTTTATAAGTCGCCATTTCGCTCAAGTCGTCTTGTTACTCTCGGTCCCCTTTCCATAAAAAGCATTACAAAATCCTTTGCGTAAGTCGGCATTCAACAAATCACGCATTGGCATGGACTTCCTGTACTGCGGTTGGCAAAGTGTCGAGTGAAAAGTGGTTTCGCACGGCTCGTGATCGCTGCATGCATCGGTGTTGAAAAAAAAGTGTCCTACTGCATACATCGCATATGCATTGTGAGCATATCAATACCAGTACCCCCACTAGGATGTCCGCATGCGCTCTGTCCATTTTGGGGGTTGTTTTATTGAATGACTACTGCTGCAGTCAAATAGTGCTGCAGTCAATGCGAGGGAAAAAGGGCAATTTTTGTGACAGAGAACAGACAGTCTGGTGTTTAGGGCCTCTTAGAATCTAGTTTGTACATCATAGTTTTAGCTCTAGCTCTATGTCTAATTCCTGAGCATTGAAGCTGGAGTTACTCAAGCTAAGTTCAACTGAGACTTTTTAGAGGCTAAGTCTGCATTATGTATATACTTCACCTGATCGCCGTCGTGACCCTCGTGATGCAAATCTCCACCACCGCCTGGTCGTTGTGGTTCTCCAGATAGTCCGGCAGGGAGGAGATCATCTGGATGTGGTTCAGCGCTTCCGACAGATCGTCCACGATGTCGCAGTCGGGGATGGAGAACAGGTCCCCGGCACGGGACAGGTCCCGCTGCGACAGGATCCGCGCAAACAACTGGTGCATCTTGAACGGGATCGGGTCTACGAAGGCGGGGGGTTCAATGAGTCACATCTAGCCATGCTGAAGAAATGTATTTGAAATTAAGTAAACAAGTTTGAACGTAGGGCCTCAACAGGCTGCTGTGATGTGGTCTATGGCGTTTCATACGCACGAGTGGGTAAATGACACAAGCACAAACATGGCTGGGAAAGATTTCCATACAAGAAGTTCACTAATTTTCCTCTGTATTGACTAACAAGCCCCCAGATAGCAATTTCATGTCATCAAAGTCAATTTGAGCAGTGAGAAAATACAAGCATTTTCTCAGAAAACACTAAGAATTTTTCAGTCCAATCTCATAGGGTTTGTACACAGGGTGTTGAGTGAACTTCGTATATATAATAATAATATTGACGGAGTCTTATATAGCGCACGTATCTACCAACAATTTGGTACTCAAGGCGCTGGAAATTATGTCAATTATTAAAGAAAGGTAAATGAAGTTGATGAGAAATATGAGACCCATTATGTAGCACCTTATAATGGTTTACAAGGTGCTGCGGCGCACATTGCAGCCACTGCCAGAAACACCGGGGCAAACCCCTTCTCTTAGCAATAAGTGTTACTGGGTTCTTTAACGTGCATTACTCAACACACGGGACATGCGGCTTTACGTCCCATCCGAAGGACGAAGCAATAATGGTAAAGTGCCTTGCTTAAGAGCACAAGCACCATGTTCCCACGTCAGGATTCGAACCCATGCACCACGGCACACGAGTCGAACACTGTAACCATTGGACTACAGCGCCACATTCCCCCCATGGAAATCTTTCCCATGGCTGTCTTACTTATTGTGTAGATATTGTCTCAGTCTCCAATAATTCTTAATAATAATGGGAGTCAGGTTGGCGTAGCGGTACTTTCCTCGCCTTCCATCGCTGTGACCCGGGTTTGAATCCCGCCTGGGCCAATATGTGGATTGGGTTTTCAGTCCCTGCCTGGTTCCGTGGGTTTGCCTCAGAATACTCTTCTGGGGTTTTCCTCCCACCTCTAAAATTGTAATTTCTTCTCATTGTCTTCTCCCCACAGGTTTCTTCAGGATTGCGAGCTACAGTGCTACCTAGGGAAGGGTGCTTTTGAGGAATCCTTAGTTTCACTACCAGAAATGATTAATAATAATAATTACATGTACAACTACATTGTCAAATTTAGAATTCAGGGGGGGGGGGGGGGTGTTCCAAAGGGTCTGAACCCCTCCGTTTTTTTGGGTCAAGGCAGTGTTATAGTCTCAAAAATATCAATTTTAACCCATTAAATGTGTCTCAAATACTGAAATCCATCTGTATTTAGCCACACAAAGATACATGCTTTATTTCTTGAAAAATTTCCTTAAGGCTTAAGTTTAAATCTACACTTGATTTTCGCTATTGAACATGTTAAAGCAATCTGGATGAAAAAAATAAAACAGGAAAAATCAAATAACCTACCTCTTGACGTCTAGTTATTTAGCTAAGAAGACAGCAGGATTTTTTTACATGAGACTAGCTGTTGTCATTCCAATTTTTTTTTTTTTTTATAAAATCCGGATTCTAAAATTCAAGAAATCCTACTTTTGGTTTTGCAGACATGATTGAAATTCCCAAGTCTGTAAGTTACAGATATGACTATGGCATGCCTATTATTATCATGCTTATTAACAGCTTCAGGAATGAGGAAGTACAGAAATGATAAGCCGCTTTAAAAATATTTTGGACAATACAGAAACAAGATTGTTTAACAATGGCCGGACATGGTTGGTATGCGGGGTACGCGTGTCATAAAATAAACTGCGAACGAAAGGTTAGTTAGAAAAAGTTGTGAGGTCTACTGAAATCGGTTGAACTATACTTAGCATTTTAGCAACACTGTCATCTAAATGTTTGGAAGAACTTACAAGTTTCAATCATGTTTCCCACGGACCAAATCTAACGACGAAACTTTACTTGTCCGATGGCAAATAGTTTCACGTCAGCCTCCCAATTTCCGACAACTCCCTGCTTAATCGCCATGTTTACCTCAAAAACTGACAGGACAGTAGTAGGGCGCCCTCTCTCGCTTGTCTGCAAAAGTGTCTGAACTTTTTTTGATAATGCATATTATTCTCAAAATTTTATTTTGTACATTAAATTTATGCACTCAAGAGAACTGTTTTTTGACTGTAAACCCATCATAATGTCCCTTTTCCGCTTGACATATAAAAAAATAATTATAAAGTTTTGTTATTAACCACTATATTTTCCTTCCTTAGTCTGATCACTTTTTTTTTTTACTTAATCTCAAAATTAAATTTTATGAAATGACAAGTAAAACTCAAAGGGTTTGTGAATCGTCCTTTTTTATTAATTGAACTTTTTCATGGTTGAAAATAAATAAATAAAAACTTGAAATCTTGTCTTTTCAATAGGATTTTTAATGCCAATGTAAACCCTCAGCTTAGTATTGAAATAATTTTCTGGTCTTTGCGGAACTTGTACTTTTCTCTGTGAAGTGTTTAAAATAAAATCTTAAAACAATGAACATTATCACTTACTTTCTAATTAGACAAAAAGAATCAACTTAAGACATACACAAATCAGACGAACTGAAATTGTACACACTGCTATCACTCTGTGCCTTAAAGAACAAATATTCAGTAATTTATGAGAACTTTTTACGCAAAAACATGTCTGATTATTATCGACTTTATTTTTTTAGATTTTATACTTTTTACTATTAATTTTCTCTTACTCAAGTCCCAGAATCTAACAGAAAAAAAGGTTCCTTTCATAACATGAGTCGGATTATAGAAAACACTGTAAACCAAGACAAGTTGTTTTTAAGACCACATTTGCTTTTTTTTCCTACTTTTCAGCAAAATATTTACAGCAAAATCTTTGACATCAAAAAGAAAATTATTCTGAACTTCTGATTTCCTGAATCACACACGCACAAAAAACCATGAAGCCAGAAAAACTAAGAACCTTTTTCTAAAAAGTAATATTATGAGACTGACCTCAACATAAATAATTTGCCACTTTTTCAAGAAAATGTGAAGAAAAATAACACTCTGACTTGTATACATTTTTTATCTTTGAAAGAATTTTTACGATTCACATTAATCTCTTAGAATGAAGAAAATGGAAGAACTCATACTTTTCAAGCTTCTTTGAAAATAAAAATTTAAATAATGTACATAACGCCCCCCCAAAAAAGTCTCCGGTTTCTGGTATGCGCGCAGGCGTCGCCGTAGCCATGCGCGTCGGCAAAATTAAAAAGTTTTTTTTTTCAATGCAAGATGATGTCTTAAAACCGCCAAACTCACTGGTTTGACTGGAATCCTGCTGCTGCACAATTTTAACGTGTTTTTAGATGGGGTTATGATCGAGAATAAGCTTTATGTGGCCTCTCTGGGCTCCCATATATTTTGCACTAAATTTAGTCGGACACCATTTGCAGTCAGCAGTCGACATTTGAAGGAAAAAAAAGGCAAAAAAGTAAAAAAAAAAAAAGCATCACCGCACCACTTTTGGGGCAAGCTCCATAACAGAAACCAAAGACTTTTGGGGGGGGGGCCCCCTAAAATCAAAAATACATCATCTTTACATTTGTGTTTGATGCAACAAAACTACAGTATATCCTCCAAAAAAGTGTTTGTCTAACTATTTTTGAAACGACTACAAAACCATGAAGTCAATTTTGAAAATTTGTGATTGTGCAGATACTCCTTATCCTTGGCCTAAACCCCTATAAGTTTCATTGAATTTCAATCATGCATCACTGAATAATGGTCAATTGATCACAACAACATGTTTTGACACTGTGACCAAGTTCCTTGCCTTAATCCATTTCAGTGCTGTTTTATGTAAGCTGTGTAAAATCCTGCATGTTGTGAAAAAAAGGCTGATGTGGTTTGGGATTGGAACCATTTGCCCTTGAGCATTAAACCGAGGTCTTGCCGTGATGACTGACAGCCAGGCAAATGATTCCGATCCCAACCGCAGCCCTTTTCACAACATGCAGGATTTTACACAGCTTACATCACACAGCGCTGAAATTAAATAAGGCAAGGATTTTGGTCACAGAGTCAAAAAATGTTGTCATGATCAATTGATCAATTGTGTAGTGATGCGTGACTGAAATTAAATGAAACTCATAGGGGTTTAGGCCGAGGACAAGGAGTATCTGCAGAGTCAAGCTTGCAATGATCTCCGGAGTTGCGGCCCAACTGTAGACATGCTGTAACCTATAAGTCATGTACATGATGTAAAAGTCTGTTCTTGTAAATGCACAACTACTCACAAGGTCGTGACTGTCAATTGAAAAGGATCCCCATTTGTTGAAGGTCAGTTGTTGCATGGAGCCTTTAAAGCCCCGTTCGTACTTCTCGCGAATGCGAATGCGAAGCGAATTTGATGTCATGAAACAATCGCTGCGAAATTCGCCCGAGTTGAAATATGTTCAACCTTTACGAATTCGCAGCGCGAATACTTGCCATGACATCACAAATTCGCGTTCGCTTTTGCTTTCGCGCAGAGTTCGAACCGGGCTTTATAGCATGTGGAACACTTAATTTGTGTGCAGTACAGTGCCAGCCCCAATGCGAAATGGTGACCTTGATAGCAGTGTTTTCAGTACAAACATCTGGTTTTTGACTCCAGTGACAATTTTTCACGACTGCTATAAATTGGTAGCTGTAGATCTCTGAACCTGTCGCAATTCAGGGCCACGAACCCGAGGCACGTGTTGCTGCGAAAGCCTACAGGACAAGGTGATTGAGTGCCATAAAAGGCATGTGCTGACATTTGTTACTAACCAACCAACCAACCGAGAGACATGATGCTTTCCGCAGCTAACAATTTCAAAACTGACTTCATGGTTATGTAGTTATTTTAAAAGTAGTCGGTATTTTTGGGGGGACATACTGTATATTTTTTTATATGCAGCCTGGTAATGGCAAGGTGGAAAATAACGAATATTTATAACTTCATGCTAATATACTTTCTGGGCACTTTTGTAACTTCGGAATTGCAGCCGTGGGAAAGGAAGTGCACTTGTCGTTTCCTAAATTCTCTTGGCCCGCTTGTATACTTCCACTTAATGTCGTTTCGTCGGACACTTTGCAGTGCGCATCCTGCGGCGACGTGCGTGAATGTAAACTCGCGTCAACCTTGAGGGGGCTGTTTCGCTTCTTCTCGGTGAGGGCTCGAGACTGGTGGATGTGAACTGCAAAACTGACACCCTGAAAGTTAAACGCACAAGAATATCACAGTAAAGTGTCTTGCTCAAAAACATAAGGATATTGCTCCCAAGAGAGTGCGCAACAGTCTTAGGTTAAAACATTTCATGAAGGGGTGGTTCGAAAGAGAGAAATACATTTCCCACCAATTCTATATTGAAATTGAAGTTTATTTTAACCGTGTTCAGATTTAAATAATTAAAAATATTAAAAGTTCAAGCAGAATCTGTGGGAGAGGTGTTATAAAACAAATATTGAATGCCTTATCTCGTGGTGAAGTAAAACTAGCCTCCCTCGGTGATCCATGGAGCATCCTATTTTCCCTCGGCATGTCCATGGATCACCTCGGGAGACTAGTTTTACTACACTACTCGAAGCATTCAATATTTGTATACTATGGTATGTGCCTCACGCTTTAAATCTCCTTATATGGAAATTGATGCGCGCGGTGCGTACTATGCGATGTGGCACAGAACGCAGGAAGTGTGTTTAAAACCAACCGTTTTTTTTATCAGGGGTTTAAAGCCACCCATGTGACGGGCTTTTGACCAATAGGAATGGGTAAACTGTCTCGGGTATTTGTGAACGATAATTAATTTACCTTATTTCTTGCAGCCCGCACAAAGCCAATGTTGGCTGTTGTTGTGATGGCTTTCAGTTTGTCACCAGTACCAAAGATCACCTATACAAAACAAAAAGAGAATCATCGATTTTGAATATAATTGGACTGGTCAAAATGTGGAGGAATGTATGTGGGAGGATTGACAGAGTCATAGCGAGTCACTGAACTTTGTGACTCGAGTCGAGTTGAGTCATTTTAATTGACGCGAGTCGAGTCAAGTCATGTGTGGTCGAGTCGAATCTTCTTTCGTATGAGGCAGCAGAAAGTCAAGCTTTTTCGTCCAGTTGTCTAAGGCCAAAAAAAAAAGTTTCCGGTTTCTGGTATGGAGCTCGTCCAAAAAGTGGTGCGGCGACGCGGCTTTTTTTTTTTTTACCCGACTTTTTTGCTTCAAATGTCGGCTGATGACTGCAAATGGTGCCCGACTAAACTTAGTGCAAATATATGGGAGTCCAGAGAGGCCACATAAAGCTTATTCTCGATCATAACCCCATCTAAAAACACGTTAAAATTGTGCAGCAGCAGGATTCCAGTCAAACCAGTGAGTTTGGCGGTTTTGAGACATCATCTTTCATTGAAAAAAAAAACGTTTTCATTTTGCCGACGCGCATGGCTACGGCGACGCGCGCGCATACCAGAAAACGGAGACTTTTTTTTTTTGGCCTAAGCCATGTTCTTGTTTGTTTGCTGACAGTGGCGAAGCCCACCATGTCAGATGGGGGGCGAAGTGCAGCACACTGTCGAGTCGAATGATAAACTACGTGAAATTATAAACTTCTCTCTGTTCCTAAAGGTTCAAAATCCCTCAGGATAAATCTTCTTCAATAGCTGGCCCCAATCTATGGAACATCCCATCAACATCAGGGACGCCCCATCTCTCACAAATTTCAAGAAACATCTTAAAAGTTTCTTATTCATGACATCCTAGTCTTTCCTTGTACAGCACTTTCATCTGTCTTGTAAAAGCGCTTTATAAATACAGTTATATTACTAACAGGTCTAATAGGGCGACAGTTATGAAATTTGCTCTAATAGGGCGACACACCTTATTATGAAAACCGCCATTTTGACCAATTTTGACAAGGGCTAGGGCTAGGCTTAGTGTAAGGGGTTGGGGTTAGGGTTAGGGCTGGGGTAAATTTTGTGCACAAGTCTATGGAAGAGTCGCCCTATTGTGGTTGTTATTATAATTATTATATAAAAAATAGAATTAGCTGTTGCAAACTGCTTACCAACCAAAAGGACCTATGGTATAAATGCAAAAAAATAGTTAGTGGCCTGACGTTTCGACTCTAGCAGAGTCTTTCTCGAAGGCTAAATGACAAGACTATAAACATAAACAGGTACATGTATACATTACTGATGTAACAAAAGCAGTCAAGTGGAAATAGATGATGCAGAGGAAAATACACAGAGAAAGCAGGTGGCTGAACAGAAAGGAGGGTAACAAAAGGGAGGGGGATTGGGGGAAGGGGATGGTTGACCACAAGAGGTGGGGAACACAAAGGACAAAGTCAATGATGGGGAGAGGGAGAGAAAGGTAGTTAATTAGTGAATGAGGCAGACTGGAGGGGGGGGGGGGGCTTATCTGTGGTGAAAAGGAGAAGGCAAAGACAAAAAGTTATTAGTCATTTCCTTCTTGGATGTTCAGACCATGGGGTTGAATGGTCTGGAGACGTCTTATCCATAATTTCTCTCTACTCAGACGAACAATCTCTCTGTGGTTTCCTAGTGCCTCAATGCCCTGTCAAATCATGTCAGAAATTGAGTGATTAGGAAGATTGAAATGATGTCCTACGGGTGTATCCAGCTTATGGGTGTTGACTGTGGATCTGTGGCCGTAGAAACGTCTCTTGAGTGTAGTTCTCGTTTCACCTATATATTGAACACACAAACTTTGCAAGATATTAAATATATTAGATTGGTGGTGGTGCAGGTGACATGACCCCTTGTCCTATGGGTGGCACCACCGGTATGGCTGGTGAAGGAGTCCGATTCTCTGATGTCTTGTCTACAGACGATGCATTTGGAGGTGTTGGGACACATAAAAGTTCCCTGTGGTAAAGGGGCGTTAACATTATCATTAAAGGGGGGGGGGGACTTCTGCCCGGACAATGTGATCCCAATGAGATCCCTGAGACTATTATTATTATAATAATAATTTCGGAGTCTTATATAGCTCACATATCTACCAACAATTAGGTTCTCAAGGCGCTGGAGATTATGTCAATTATTAAAGAAAGGTAAATAAAGATTATGAGAAATATGAGACCCATTATGTAGCACCTTATAATTGTTTACAAGATGCTGCGGCGCATATTGCAGCCACTGCCAGAAACACAGGCAAACCACTTCTCTTAGCGATAAGTGTTACTGGGTTCTTTAACTTGCATTACACAACACACGGGACCTACGGCTTTACGTACCATCCAAAGGACGAAGCAATAACGGAAAGTGTCTTGCTCAGGAGCACAAGTACCATGTTCCCACGGTCAGGATTTAAAACCCAGGTACCACGGTACACGAATCGAACACCGGAACCATTGGACCACGCACCCCACACAATTTACAGCGAGGGTTTCGGGGACCCGCTTAAGGGCCCAGAAAAACACGAACACTAACCCTAGCCCTAATATAATTCTATTATTATTATTATATATTATCCCCATCCCCCCTCCATCCCCCCTCAACACAGGATCTATATGCCCCTGGGTGGGGGTGGGGGGGGGGTTCATGAACACACCTTAGCTCTGTGTTTGACGCGATGGCTCTCTTCAAGCATCTTGGCCCGATCAGAAGGACCGTCTTCCACCACGGTGATCCGAGAGAGTAATCGCTGGGAGCGGTCCCACTCCGTCGGCCCCGCAATGGTTCCCAGAATGCCCTGGAAGTCGGTGATCGCTGTCTGGCACGCGTAGAGCTCTTTGTCTGGGCAGAGGGCAGACACGCATATGATGAGAATCAAAGATGAACTGAGAATGCTCTTCTACAAATTTAACTTATTTTTTTTAAGTTTTGGATGTCTGTAATCTTCTGAAAAAAGTCCACTTTTCGGGAATGCTTTTTCGCACAGTATTGTGCGATGTTGAGCAGAACGCAGCGATCAAGCCAATGTACAAGTTCTTATTTGGTAACATAATCGAATATGTGAATCTTGAAATTGTTGATATGATTTTTTATGGATTGACGAATCATACTTTATTCCTCAGTGCAATCTCGATGATCGTAATGATTATTACAAAATAACCTGACCTTTTATTGTCAATCGTATTTTGAACATTGTTAACGATTTTTAATTTTTTTTTTTTTTTGTAACAATTTTAATGGGGATCGTATCTTATTGCATTTTTTGTGTTAGTTTTGTATTAATTGATTTTTTGTTTCTAATGGTTTAACATTGTATTGTCTAATGGTTGTATCATTGTATTATCTAATGGTTTCTAATGGTTTAACATCTTAATTCGGCATGTGCCGCCACGATGATTTTTTTTTCATAAACCAGTCTAACTGTCTATATATCCCGGTGTAGCGTGAATTAAGGACTCTATGAAATACAGACTCTTTGGCATGAGGCAAATAGTTTATACGCAAACTGCACAACATTATGTACGAGACCGGCACAATTGAAACACGGCCCGACTGTTTTCGTCGTTGCTACCTTGTAGGAACTGTTCAATCTCTGCCACCAGGGGGCGCTGTCTCTCCTGCTCGGCCAACTCCTGGATGAGGGGCTCGGCGAAGGCGTGCCAGCAGCCGCCGTGAGTCAGGTCCGACACCAAGGCCACCATGGTGGTCACGTCCAGGTTGACCTTACGACAGTCTTCATCAGAAGGCTGGCTGGCGCAGGGACTCTGGTGGGATAGAAAAATGAGAAAAAGAAACTAGAGATTTCAACCACTGTAATTTCACTGCAATGTCTAGGGCAACTGATATTCGACTTGAAAATATCTGGTTTCCATTTCAGGAAATCGTGAATTCAGTTTCAACTATAAAACTGTAAAAGGGTGAATGATAAGCACTTTATAATGTGCCTGCCCCACACCTTTCCGAATTGACCAGTTCACCTGATCATTTTCTTTCAGTGTTGCGGAGACTGCAACGTTAACTGCACACATGCCCGATTCCTTTCTATAATCGGTCACATGATGATCAGTCACATGATGACCAGTCACATGATGACAAGATGGCAGCCGTCACTTTTAAATCACGTGACTTAATTCGTTTTTGAATCTGATTGGTTACATGAACATCGCGTCCAGTGAAATCGGAGTGTTGCCCGCACACCTTTCCGATGACATCGCATCCGGTAAAATCGGATGTGGACAAAATCAAACATGTTTGATTTCATTTGGTTGCCCAGTGTACGGTCAGACCGGTACGATTTTTCAGCGCACGCCTCTGTACGATGGCCCGATGAACCAGTAAAATCGTTAAAGCTATAGTCCATCATTTGTAATTAGTGCATTTTGTTCGTTTGAAGCAACAAAAGTGTTCAAAATCTAATGAAGGATACTGAGCAACTAACCTGATGAAGTTTCAGCTAAGCTTCAGCTGTACATTCCGAGAAAAGCAGCATTCTAAGATCTCAATTTCAAATCAAAAGTTACTGAATCATGTTTTGAATTGTTTTGAATTGCAGCTATACGCGGCGTCGCGCACTGATCCGACGAATTATAACAACCGTGCACGCGTGTGCGTCGTTCCAATACTTGTGCGCGCTGCGCCGAATAACAAAACGAACTACTAATTTAAATTTCCTACGGCGCTTCTTAAGAATCACCGTTGGAAATGCCTTCTTTCGTTGATTACTTCAAAATTACAGCTTCCCAGAAAGAATAATTTCGCAGGGAGTTTAGTTCCCTTACTATCTTTCAACCAAGTTTGTTTTTCAACAGTAATTACGCCAGTTACTTTTCGGATGGCTGCAAATGATGGACTATAGTTTTAAGGTGTGCGGCGAGCTTTAGAGTGGATTTTCATAGAATTAACTTTTCTGTCAAACAATTTTGCAACTGAAATTAAATGTAACAAAATGGCCCAAAGCTTTTTAGTATCTCTTTTTGTGCACACAATATAGGGTTTTTGCAAAAAGCTTAATTCTTGCTTCAAAAGGTTAAGCGTTCAATGCGGACGATCAAGCCTGGACAACATCAGCCACTAGGTGGCGCTTTTCATGATGGCACATTTGCCTAGAATGATACAACTTCGTCAAACAGAAACGATTAATTTGCCATACTTACTTTCCCCAAATCTTTTATAACTGGTAGTTGAAGTGGTATTTTCAGGCTGTCTTCAACGGTTTGGAAGATGTGGCCAAGTGGTTTTATGCCAAGTTCAACAAGGTCATCTGCAAGCAAACAAATACAAATTCAAAAGACAAAAATCACCAGTTGTAGGGGGATATATGACTTCCCCTAATAATTTGTTTGTTTTTTCAATTGGCAGGATTCAATTGCAAAACGAAGCATTGAGACACTTCCCATTTAAGACCGTTCAATTTAGGAACAGTAAGACACAGTAAACACAGTAATGTTCATATAAATATACAGATATTTTTTTAAATGAATATTTCCCCCTGCAGTTACAATTATTGTCTCATTACACTGAAGCAGCTGATGTCACAAAACAGTGCGTAACATGCACCGTGCGTAGGATTTAAGCAACAGATTTGTTGCGAGGCTGCGCAATGAACTTGCGATAAATTTCACAAAACTTGGCATAGCTGCGTTAGCAACGTCTTAATAATGTAAACATCTTGGACAAGGAACAACAGTACGACGGCTGTTTTTGTACAAAATCTCTTCAGTCAAAAAAACAGTCATTGCATTACCACTGTTCGCCATTTTAAAAATAGTTTTGTTCGACTCTAAAAATTCTGTGTGGGTAGAAGAGCTATACATTTAGTTCAAACACAAATTTAAGCTGTGAGTGTTTTGTTTCAACCTTGATAAGTTGAACAATGACAGGCTCCACGACAATCACGATTTGCCAGTGAAATAGTTCATTTACAGTCGCTGCACCATAACTTATGCCACCTAACTTGATTGCGTAAGTTGCACCATAATTTGCTGTGTAAGTCATGGACTTAACACACTATGAAGCTTTTGCAAAATGTGCCATAACTGAAATGCTGCGCAACGTGAAATGTGGTGCAAATTAGGCAAGAAATTGTGGCGCAAGTGGAGTTGCGCCATTGCATAAAGTTTCTTGACATCGGCCACTAGTCAAGTCAGTCAGTCAAAGGCCTTTGCCTCGCTTGTCAGAGACCAGCTGCAGTGTTCGACTCGTGTGCTGTGGTACATGGGTACGAATCCTAACAGGAAACATGGTCCTTGTACTCTTGAGCAAGGCACTTTACCATTATTGCCTTGTCCTTCGGATGGGACATAAGTCTTGTGCGTTGTGTAATGCACGTCAAAGAACCCAGTAACACTTATCGCTAAGAGAAAGGGTTTGCCCCGGTGTTTCTGGCAGTGGCTGCAATATGCGCCACAGCACCTTGTAAACCTTTATAAGGTGCTACATAATGGGTCTCATATCTCTCATCAACTTCATTTACCCGTCTTTAAAAATATACCTAATTACCAGTGTTTTTGAGTACCTAATTGTTGGTAGATACGTGTACTAAATAAGACTCCGGTCTTAAACCCAAATCCAGTCTCTGATCAGGACTAACTTGGGTCAACCCATAAGACATGTGTCACCAAGACTTTGTGTCTCACCAACGATAGCTTTGGTGACTCCACCATAGAAGACAATGTTGACTGTGGGCGGCTGGTAGTTGATTGGGTGCTGGCGGCTGGCTTGGAGGAACTGCTCCGCTTGCTCCACGATGTCATGCTCCCCGTATTCCCCGTCTCCTGGAGGAAGGAATAAAGGCCACCACTGGTCAATTTACTGTACCTCACTGGCTAAGCTGGAAGCAAATGTCAGTGATAACCGCTGGCTGAATGCAACGTACATTTAGTTGAAATTTGGTTACAGTTAACATAAAATTACCGTAAATGCAAATGTTGTCAAGTATGTACATTTGTCCCATACTAATGTAATGATGTTTCCTCCCATGCCTGTGGATTTAATACATACATGAACTACATGTAAAAACAATATCCTATTTTGATTCTAAAATATCTCTGTTGTTTACCAATGGAATTAAACCAAAATTTCAGATCATGTAAACAAGGCATGACAAAATTGTATGGAGCGACTTTCATCAGCTTTGTGCAAGAGGGTGAGATTTAAATGCCATAGGGAAATAATACTTTCAGAATGACGATACAGCGCTGGAGACGGTGGCGGAAGGCGCGTGCTGTGGCCAAAAGCTTCTGAAGGAATGCAGGATCACCCCTGATGTCATTGCACACCTCCTCAATCGTGTGTTGCGCCAAACGATCGAGGAAGTGTGCAATGACATCAGGGGTGATCCTGCATTCCTTCAGAAGCTTCCGGCTGCAGCAAACGCCTTCCGGCACCATCTCCAACGCTGTATCGACACTGGAGGACGCCAAGTCGAAAGTAGCAGATCCAAAGAAGGATTTTTTTTGACACGTAGTATGTTATGTTTGTGTTCATTGTGCTGCCACTAAATTTGACATACAATTTGGGCGATTCACAATGCAGTGCGCCACCAAGAATTCGCCACGGAGAGTCCATTTTTCAAGTTTACGGTCAACAAAACATGGCCCATTTGAATGAGTGTCAGTAGACAACTTGAGCTAAGATGTCATAGATTGGGGCATAGCGTTCTGCCGCCTTACAAAAAACACCATATTGATAACAAGAAAAGAAAAGGGAAACATATCCTCAAATCATACGCTTACGAAACTACTGACCGGAAAAACTAACAATTTCAAATGTCCCGCGCTGCGAATTAGTCGACCATCTCCAACAATGCACTGGGAAAAATCACTTGGCAAACACTTGGTAGCGCACTGCATTGTGAATCGCCCGAATAAGGATGCAATGATTACGATGATGAGAATTTCGTCTATACCTTCCCATATTCTGTGTAGCGCCTTGGCCTTGCGAGCAGTGACTTTCACCCACGACGTCCCCCCGTTAGCGACCACGTCCACGATCACTGTGCTCTCCGCGCCATTCTCTCCTTCGTAGTGGAACGGGTGAAGGACACTGAGCACGTGCCCGAAGGACTCCGCGCTGTGAAGGACGCCCTCTAGATGCGTCAGGTTGGTGCTCTTGAGTTGGTTCTCCTTCAGCGCTATACTGCCGTTTTGTAGCTAACAAAATAAACATTCGAGTCCAATAACTTCAAAGGGCCCATACAATGTAATTTTTTTTAAGGTAATCCATGAAAATAACTTTGTGTGCCATTTTAACTTATTTTTAATTTTCGTTTTGCCATTTTCAAGGGTGTTTAAATTGGTTTTTATGTTCATGTCAATTTCCATATAACAGCACCAAACATTGCTAGAATTTTGGATATTTTGCTGTCGTAGAGTTTCTTTTCTTTGGTGATTCCTTGTTGTTTAAAGTACAGCAGTAAGCCAATGAACAAACTTTTCTCACAAACGTTTTCAATGAACACATATTTGGGTTCACACTTTGAACAGAAAACCCCTATGGGTGCACACCGGTAAATAGGCCAAAATCCATCCGCCGAGCTCATGAATAAAAGTTATACCCTCAAAATATTCTATATAAGAGAGTTCTGAGCGCCGTAAAATTGGGGATTTGAAGAGATATGGTGATGAACCTCTGGCCCGGACTTGGGGCTTCCAATTCTAAGCATTTTGGATGCTTTTGGTCTCAAAAGTGGCGCTATTTTGCCATGTTGTGGAGGGATCGTTTTTCAAGATGGCTACTTTTCCGCTTTGGGGAAAATAGGGGTCGTCTTCTTTGGGTGAGAATATCTCAAAAAGTCAATGGTCAACCCACCAAAAAATGAAAAGAAAACGAAAGATGACATGTTGAGCATCATTTTCTGTGCAGTTTGAATACCTGTGAGAGTTCTGAGTATTTTTAAAAGAATTTTGAAGTATGGGCATTTAGCACTAGTGTCTATGGGAATTCATTTGCAGGGTTGCATCCCTATACTGTACAGTGTCTTCCTAAAGTGACATCACAGCAACAGCGCCCTCAGTTGTCAGAAAAAGCATGTAAACTATTAAATGTATGAAGAAGTGCACTTTTCAATCAAATTTACCTAAAAGGAATGTCAAATTGTTTTCATTCATTTAAAAGTAGTAGAAACTTGCCCAAATGTGTTCCTGCACAGATTAAAGGGAATATACAACATTTGCAAACATTGAAAAATAAAACTACCAAGTTTTTACGAAATACCTTACTAGGGCCAAGTTCGCGCAAGGACTATAATTGACCAATGGTTAACTAACGTTTGCCCGAACTCTGTCTAGTCGACGGTGGTTGACTACGCTAGTCGACTATTTGGAACCAGCCTACTGGGGTTGGTTGCTTCGCTGGTAACCAATAGCCGCGCGCATTCATAACGCTAGCAGAGAGCCAGGATCCAAAAGTTTTGCGATGACATTTTGACCAGCGTTTGACGAGAGATGTTCGCACGTTGCTATCAGTGCGCAGGCGTAAGGTACGTCACAAATCAACCACTTGTCGACTAATGGTCCTTGCCCGAACTTGGCCTAGGATGTTGGTAAATGACAGTCTATAAACATCCTGTAAAATTATGGCACCTGGTGTGAAGTCATTTTCAAAAAATGGTATTTTTGTATACATTTCCAACGGTGGTCGGCCGACCACCGTTGGAAAAACCTAACTATTTTTCAACTACTGCTCCAACTTTACACTTTTTTCAGTCCAAATTTTGTTGGTTACATGTTCATGAACGGGTGCAGGCCAGCTAGACTGGTTCCCTTACCTTACAATTTTCCATCATCTATAAATTGATCCATTTTATCTTTAGTGGAGTCAAGTAACCAGACTACTTGAACATTTTTGTTTTTCTTGGTTTTTCCAGCATTTTCTAACACAAAACTTCAAACATGTCAGTGTAACAATATTTGATCTATTATACTAACCCCTCAAATAGTTCATTTCTGAAAATTACAGCAAAAGCCAATCATGTACATTCCCTTTAAGTCATGTCTTGGCCCCTTTTTAAAGTGGGGTTCTGTAGTTTATAGATACGGGAGCCCTTACCGACTTCACAAAAGTGCGTTCTGACTGGATCTTCTTGATGAGTTTCCCGATGCCAGCGATTCCGGACTCTTTGGACTGGAGCATCTGGGCCCTGCCAAGCAAGTCTTCGGCTCGGCCGAGTAAGCCCTGCAGTGCGTCGCGAGTCGACTCGTCCATATTATTTGCCATATTGTTCAAGATGAGCTGATTCTGAAAATGAAAATTTGTCAAATAGTACTTCAGGAAACCCAAGCTCTATTGCGACATTGAAGCTGGTGGAAGGGGGGGGGGGGAGGGCTGCACATTTTAAGTATAGGGAAATTAGACTGGTTCTGGACCTCCCATATTACCACTCATCGTGAATGGTGAGAGGCAGGAACCAGCCCAAAGGCCAATGCCCATTTGGGGGGTTCTTACAAGCCTTCAACATAGTCCCACTAACTGGGGCCCTAGAACTCCTTTGTTTGATATTTGGGATGTTGGTCTGTCGTACTAGCGTCCCACTACGGAAGAATTGTCAATATTACAATTTCAAAGTTCACCACAAAAATCAGGCAAAATACTTGACAAAAATACCTTTGAAGCACCTACTGGCTTCTCCACATGTCAAAGACGAAGTAATGGGGCTTCAATGATACTCGCGATTATTTTTTGGGTTGCAAATCCGTGAAATTCAACCGCTATAGCACAGACATCATACAGCGATCATTCAACAACGTTATGGCTGTGATCTATATGTCGCAACACATTTTCTATGTACTAGCCCCAGGTTGGACTCCGTTGTGTACACGCAACGGAGTCCAGGGTAAGAATCTCTCCTGCCATAGCAAACAAAAATTATAACACATTTTGTGCATATTTTTACCTGACGAAGGAAGCTGAAATTTCGCTTACATATTCCTTGTTTCCAGAATTGTACCTGCGCTGAGTTTAGGAACGACAAATATGTCCGCAGACGGCGTGTTTACTGAAAATAAACCCCAAGTTCTACGCTTTCGTTGAAAACATTTTCAATACCTTCAACATATCTTGTGTTTCATGAATGATTACTGCATAATTTTTGCTATCTTATAGGAAATCCGAGCGCAAAATGCTCATCAGGAATTCGACTTGTAGCCCAGGGGTCACAACTATATTTTTCTTCCAGAGGTGAAGTCCGTGAAAAATGGCCTCAACCTAAAATGATAATTTTCCCTCATTATCCAAACCCAGTTGAGATAATAAACTCACCTAAAAACTACAACGAAGCAAAGGATCAACTTGAAATACTTCTAGAATTAGAAGGCTCATGGAGCCTTCGACTTGATTGAATTTGAAACAGAGCAACATAAAATATGGGCGTTCGAATTTGAAGCCCGCCCTCTGGGACTGCCATAGACCCATATTAAAATGTGGCCAAGTTACTGGACTACCTCCGTAAATCAAATTAAATAAGGGCCATTCTTCCACCATGTACAAAAACATGTCGAACTTTGTCAAATTTTGAAATTTCACATTTAGCATGTTTAGGCTTAGTTTGTAGTTTATTTTTGCTTTAGAAGCATACTCACCCTCTTTATAGGCTAATCAGAAAGTGCTGCCCTTTTCAGATGTCTAATTTTCGTGAAATTTCATGTTATAATTTTGATACGCAAATGTACACGTGTGCAACGAATCTGGAAATTTCACGAAAAATAGACACCTGAAAAAGGCAGCACTTTCTGTTTAGCCTGTAAAGAGGGTTAGTAATAGTATGCTTCTAAAGCAAAAATAAACTACAAACTATGCCTAAATGTGAAAATCAAAATTTGACAAAGTTCGACATGTTTTTGTACATGGTGGAAGTGTGGCCTTTATTAACGGAGGTACAGTACAGTATTTTGGCCACATTTTTATGGGGCTACGTACGGTACGTCCTACTTCATTGTTACAATAAAGTACAATTTTACAAAACAACTCCATTGAAATTTTCCCCACATCTGACGGGAAAAAGCCGTAACGTTAAAACGTTACCGTACTCACAGATAATTCAAAAAGGTGTTTGGAATTCGCGTTGTTGTTTTTAGGGACACTCAACTTGTAGGACTGTTTTTCGATGAGAAGCGCACTGAATCGATGTACACATAATTTTTATACGAACGACGACCGTATCGTACCGATTGCTGCATGATGTCGCAACTTGCAGTCCCAGAGGGCGGGCTTCAAATTCGAGGGGGCGGGGGGGGGCGGGTTGATTTTCTTCCGCATGACTTTGTACTAAGTCACTGATCTCTATATAAAGACTGGATAGCTAATAAAGAGCCGCACAATGTACGAATTTGACGCCATATTGGTGAGACCGGCTGGTGATCTACAAAGGACAAGTTGCCGTCTTTATAGACAGCTTGATTTCTTTTGTAACGTCGCGGCTCACTTGACTTATATTTTGGCCACACTGACCAACTGACCAAGGTTTACTACAATTTTTCTAACGTAGTGGTTACTTTTATAATGCCGCAAATCACTTTTTCGGCGTTTTTGAAATAATAATCACTACGGAAATGTGTTCCTTTTAGAACATCATAATATGTGTACGTGACCAAAATGCGCGTCAACTGTTGATACAACGCGCGCGTTACGCGTAGAACGTTCGTATTATACGCGGCCATCTTCGTGAGACCGGGGACGAATTGGTCAATATGCAAAGTCTACTGTGTGAATGTTGTATGCATATCCGCTATCCAGTCTTTATATAGAGATCAGTGTACTAAGTACGAGTGAATCATTTCATGTATCAAAGTTCATGTATCATTTCATGATATAATTCAGTAGTTTATACGATATAATTCAGTAGTTTTGAAGGAACCATTGTAAGACACTCGTGTTCTTCGACTCTTTCCCTTACATCAAAATCATCCATTTAATTTTGGTGGTTTAAAGATAACACGACTTACATGTACAAGCTTTGCTCACGTTTGTGTCTTTAATTATTACTGAAAGAAAAACTTTCTTGGCTTGTTTAATGAACCTGTTGGTTCTCTTTATTTATAAGAAGTACAATGTATAGGGCAATTTTGGGACCGCAATAGAAACAAGTTTTTAAATTTGCGTTATTTTTTCCACTGTATGGGAATTTCCTATTTTTAATTTTTAAATTTTTATACGGTTTTAGATAATTGTTTGTTGTATTTTGTTAAATCTTAACTTATATTAAATCTGTATCATTATTGTGTGGAAACTGCGAATCAATCAAATCAAATCAAATATTGGTCGAAGAAAACACTGCTCAAACGGGGGCAATCTTCTCTCCATTCGCGATGTAAACAAAATATTAAAGACGAAATCTCAAGATATACGAAAGACGGAGCGAGTGCCACTCAATAAGTAAAGACGTGATAATGTTGAAATAGTAGTGACGGAGTTTAGAAGCCGAATGGCCTAGTGGTTAGATTCGTCGTCCACGATTCGCGGAGCGCCCGGGTTCGAATCCCGTCGGTGTCTTTTTGTTTTTAACGCACGCATTCAGTCATTATAAGATGTTTAATTTCCCGTCGTCAAATACCAACGGTACCTTAGCTTAATCGGTAAGCACTGCGGCTGGTACTTTCCGTGAGTTCCAGGTTGGCGCCTTCGTACAGGTTCAGGGCATGTGGTCCACTCGGAGGATCAGGGCTTAGGGTGCCGCCCTGTTCCTCCCTTAGCTCTTTGCTTTTACATGGCGCCTGGCCCTCCGGGGTTACAGGGAAGGAAGTGTGTATTGGTCGGGGACGCTGAGACCCCGGAATAGAACTAAGGGGTTGGCTGGGGCATTGTTATGGCTCAGACCGATCCCTGAATGCTTGGCTAGCACATAACTTTTTGATTCTTTTTAATCCTCTATTTTTTATTTTAAACTTTGGTTAAGTTGGATATTTACATCTGCTCGGCAGGTCTCCGGTAGTATTAAAAACGAATCAAAGGTCGACGTCGTGAATAAATGAATATTAAATAATTGATTATAATCACAATTAAGTTTGGTTCGGTCAATATGACTACCATTAATTTTACGTCAATTGCAAATTGCGCCAATAATAAATTATTATTGCCGCAGAAACGCCATGTGCAATATTATACCGGAAACAAAATAAAGATGCATATTATACTACAATGTTTTTGACAGAACAGGGGGACGGAGTTGACCCCCCCTCCCCTGGATCAGTGACGCAACCAGGATTTGGCACGGGGGGGGGGGGCTCACAATTTGTTTTTAAATTTTGTAGAAAAACGATGCCTACACTCCATTGCAAAATAGAGCGCTTTTAGGCCCCAATTTCATCCAAACTGAACGGAACTACAAGCTCACAGTCCTGTGCACGGCTTCCACCCAAGAATTTGAGGGCATGCAAATCGTGATTTGGCCGGCGTAAGCAATTTCGGACCGATTTACTGGTCTGCAACCCTTAGGCAGGTTTGACTGTATTTGCATGTAGCCATAACACACACGGAATGTATATTCATGCGCACGCATGATCAACCGTCATCGTGCCTCTTTTCTCTGCCATTTCCTCCTTACCCTGCATTGTGAATCGCTCGAATTCAATGCACTGTATAGGAGGAAATGGCAGAGAAATGAGGCACTTCGAAATAGCAAAATAAAGCATGACTAATATCCAAAGCGACCAAAACTAATAATTGAGGCTTATTCTTACATGGAATTAGCAGCGGCGTAGCCAGGGTGCTGCTCATCCTAGGGGGCGTTGGGGGGGGGGGGGGGGGGGGGGGGGGGGGGGGGGGGAGGGGGCTTGAGGTTACAATGGAGGGGCTCCCAAAAATCTGCTGAAAGGTAGACAGGTTTTTCACCGGACACCCGCCCTCCGTCAAATCAAATAGTGTGTGTGGGCGTGAGCTCAAATTAATTTGTATCCTTGCTGAGACACGCACACAATACGGGGAACAAAACATTGTAAAGGTCTCCACAGGGCAATTTCTATAGATAAATAGGTCTCCACAAGGTTTTCACGAAATAGAGTTTTAGAAATTTCAGCCAAGGACATTAATTCTGGTTAAAATAAGAGCATTTTGAAACTTCCCTTTCAAACTCGAAAACTTTACTACACGAGAACAAAGAAATGTTTGCACAAGGATACAAATTCGAGAGTGTGTGTGTGTGTGTGGGGGGGGGGGGGACCATCTTCCTATGAGGGCGCTGTTCAAAACGTATATCATGGCTACATTAGACAATAACCAATTCGCATTCGAAGGGTCGGAAGGGAAACAGCCACTCGCGAAAAAAACCCTGTTTAATACGCACAAAATCGCGTAAAAAAGGACTTTACGTTCTTCCAGCTTTTCATGGTAACTTATATGGGCTGTGATTTTCTCCGGATGCCAAATTTTCAGTTGGGGGGGGGGGGGGGAATGGTGGGAAGGGGAACTTTTTATGGGGGGGGGGACGTTAACACGTTGAATTTGTTTCTCACTTAAGTTCGTGTTTTGAAGATATATTATTTCCCTTATTCCTTAACTTTTTTTTTAGTGCTCTTTGCATTAATTTCGGTTGATTAATGAAAGAAACGTGATTACTACTTTTCTTTTATACATAGAGTGGTGGAGCAGTTTCTGACGAAATCATCTTCACAACTGACAAGCGAGCTTTCTTGAGAACGCCACACATAAATTCATTCACTGCGTCCAAAACTTCAACATTTATGTCCATGATGCTGAATTTTTGTGAATTGTTGTGATATCTTATTATCGTTGAAAGCACAAGGAAAGGAAAGGAAGCTTCAAATTAAAATAATAAAAACTCTTATTTTTTTTTTTAATCTAACATATAAAAAAGGGAAAAGTTTTTAGTGTTGAAGCATTCTTTTTTAACTCTATGTATTGACAATGTTTTCCCGCCGTTTAATAGCCCATTGGGAGTATTGTGACGTGTGGTGCCAGCTCTCCTGCGTCAGGCTGGTTTGGTTGGTAGCGTGCCGTCCCGATGGTGTCCTATCCCTGCAGTGGTGGGCCACAGCACCAGGCTATCCCCTCTTCTGGGTTGGTTGGATCAGCCAGTAAACTGGTAGTCAGGGCAATGGAGCAGGGGAATGGAAGTGGGAACTGGGAATCGGAATGTGGAGTCGGAAGTGGGTGGAGTCGGAATGTCGGCGGAGTCGGAATGTCAGCGGAGTCGGAATGTCGGCGGAGTCGGAATGTGAGTGGAGTCGGAATGTCGGCGGAGTCGGAATGTGGGTGGAGTCGGAATGTCGGCGGAGTCGGAATGTGGGTGGAGTAGGAATCGGGTGGAATAGGCGGAGTCGGAATGTGGGTGGAGCAACTTATCTACCTTGGGACTTTGCCCTAGACTTAGTCCTAAGTAGACCCTATACCCTGAGACAGACTAGTAATTGGTAAACAGAAACAGTGATGAAGTACGATGGTCATGCCTTTAATCATCATCATCCGTCATGTCATTCCGCATAATCAAGAGCCTGAGCAATTAGTCTAATCATCAGAGAATCAAGCAATCAACTGACTAAATCCTAGCCCTGCAGCTCATTTTATAGACTTTGAGCCCCATAAGCTAGTGCACAACTTCTCTTTGCCATACAACAGTGCATAAACTCAATTGACCAATCAGAAACAAGGATTCCTTATATGCAAAGTGTGGGTGACTCACAGTGTGCTAGTGTATTTAAAACATACAGTTGGTGACTTAATTCCTATTCCGTCACAGTATAAGGAGCAAAACAAGTTTTTAAATCACATTTCACAAGATATTTAGCAATTCGAGGACTGGAGGCATAAATGATGCAATATAGCAACCCCTATTACAAAATAATTAATAGCAATATTTATCTGCCAAACTTTTTCTCTATAGTGTATTACTGTCCAATATATCAAGCAAATATTACAAGCATATACATGTATATAGACCCTCTACGAAACTTTCTGCTGAAGTTATTAGCTCTTTCGGCGATCCTGTAACTTATGGCGCTAATACACAAAGCCTAGAGAACATCTTTAAAAGTTTGCGACGTCTGAGACCGTTATTTCCATAAAGAAGTTCGACTTCAATGTTCACTGTGTTTCACGCATTATTGCTCCGACCGCAGCATTTGCTCCTTCTCAAAGCCTTCAAGACATCCGAGGGTTCTGGGATGTCGTCCCACTGGCGACGTACGATGCAGCGGAAGACGGTCTTGAAGTCACGGTGCTTGGTGGCGTAGATCAAAGGGTTGATGCAACTGTTGCACAGTAGGACTGTAAACGCATACTCAGTGCCAATTTTCAACTTTAAGTTTATTAATTGCAGGCAAAGGAATACGGCGTATGGACCCACACACAGCACAAAGGCACAGACGACGTAGCACATGTTCTTGGTTATTTGGACCTGATGGCGACTCAGTTGGTCGTTGCCGGTCGTCAATGCGGGCTGGCTTCGGGGTTGGGTGCTGTCACTGGGGCCCGGGTTGTCATCGAGTTGGGTCTTCGTAGGGATGTGGGTTGTGAGTTCCTCAGGTGTGGGACTGGAGCAGGCCATGCTCCTCACCTGGCGGTTGATACGTCTCCAGATGAGAACGTAGCAGGCGATGATGAGGATCAGAGGGATCGGAAACATAGCAATTGCAAATGCGACGCTCACGTGGCGTGTCATCAGCCGAAGAACAACAATAAAGGTGAATACTAAAGGTATCACCCAAGCGCACACGAGGTACACGGCGATCTTCCTCGGTGTGTAGACATTTCGATAGGTGGTTAGTGGTCGTGTGATCAGCAACCAGCGGTTAAGGGCGATGCACATCAACGTGATGATGCTGCAGCCGAGAGTCGTGAGCAGAATGAAACCGAGCCCGTATCCATCCCATTCCCAAGGCCTTCCGGATACCATCAGCGCACGTTTATCAAGTGCACCGAGAGCGACATTAACCGATAACACCAGACAGGTCAGCAGGTCTGCGACGCTCAGATTCACCACGAAGGCGTTGGTGGTCGTACGGAGCTTTTTGGAGAGAAGCACGGCCAGGATCACTAGTGAGTTACCGATGGTCCCTACTATGAAAGCGATCCCATACAGTACGTAGAGAAAGACTGTATGGCCATTTACTGGGACATCCGACTGAGAGCTCTCGCTAGTGGAGTTGACATCATCCATAGTTTCAGATGGTCTGTAAACATGAGAATGAAGATAACAAATTATGATGAATATTTCATATAGCCTACAGTCATAACCCACGTATAATTATATAGGGTCTTTTGCAATAACCCAGAAAATTATACCTACCGATTAAAACGACAGAAACGTTACTCAAAGTGAAAATAGGAATGGTATCAAATACCATGTGAAATCATCAGTCTGGAATAAATTCGTTTAGAATAAAAATAACATAACAGAGTTGCTTCAAAAAAGGGTGCCCACTGGCACTTTTCTTCTATACGCAGTTACTAGATCTGAAGTGTTTTGCATATATTTTCTCTGTGTCTCAAAATGCAGACCTATAATGAGCTCTCACCATAATGTACCCTTCTTAAAATTTTGATCAACTTTGTTCTTTCAAACGGTACAAAAATGCACAAATGGCCAGTGATCCTTTACGACTATAAATCATCTGTTACCTCTCTCTAGAATTTGACAGGCCTCCTCGAAAAAAAAGTCTACACGTATATTGATCAAGGTTCGAGCTTACAAATTCAGGCAAGTGCTGGATCGTATAGTTAGAGACCTACCTTGAAGCTGGTTTATGTGAAGAAATCTATTTATAAACTAATGAAGGAAACGGATTGAAATGTCAAAACTTCAGTACTTCTTTTTCACACCGCCAACACCTCACTGATAGATTCCTTTTCAGTGAAATAAATATATATTGACCTAGGGTGCATGAAATACGCAGTTTAATGCATATGTACGTGTGCGTGTATTTACAAGTACCCACTACGCATGCGCACGAAATGTACATGCGCACGCATAAACCGCCATCGGTGTTCAACTTGCTGGGAACGACGGTAACGTGTAAATTGAAAGCATTGTAAGGAGGAAACGGCAGAGAAAGGCGCTTATCAAAATAATGAAACATGGCATGAGTCCTATCTTAGGCGACGAAAACTATTTATTTGTTTCGGATAAAAGGTTTTTCAAATTATTCACCAACAAGTATATAGTCATTAATTTCTCTCCTTGAACTTCCTCGCCTAAATTGTTAACATGCTGTCCTGGACAAAAGGTATTTCAAAGTTTTCACAAGCATGTGGTCATTGTTGTGGGTTTTTTTTCTCTCAAGCTTCTTCATCATTTCACAAACAGTAATGGTAACACGTGTTTTTCGAGAACACTTTATACAGGAATGACTTCACAGGTTCTAAAATAGGCCTATTATACTCCAGAAAGCAAGACTTGTACTTTAAAATTGTCTTTGGGAAAAAGGAACTGGCTTCATTTTAGGCCGACGACGATGCTGTGCCGAACGAAGGTCTTTCAAAATACGTTCGCAAACATGCTTAGTTGTTTTTCCTCTTATAAACGTCCTCATTATTTTTTCACAAACAGTATTGCTAACACTGTGTTTTCTGAGAATATTCAGGGACAACCATGACTTCACAGGTTGTCAAGTTATCCAGAACTTGAGCAATATAGAACTTTACATGATGACAGAGCAGATTTGTGTCATCAATGCCGGACCCAGAACTGGACTTCCTATTATTTTTGTAAACATGGCTGTTCCGGTGCAGCGTGAATATACATCCGACTCCATGAAATGTGGACTCATTGGTAGTATTGCACATGTGTGAATACGATAATATGCTATTTTTAGGATCATTATGAGAGAGTGACCTGTCACGTGCGAGGGATTAACCAATAATTGGGAAAAGGGGTCCGATTTTCATAGGAGTCGGATTTTCATATGACACCGGACTATGAACTTTCAACATGTTCACAAACATGTTTAGTCATGTATTTTTGTGTACTCTCCAACTTCCTTATTATTTCACAAACAGTGTTGATACTATGTTCCGGGTACGTTCACCTATATTACGAGTTTCTGACGCCCCTATATTCCGAAATATATGTTCCGACACCCCTATGTTCCGACACCATTGTCGGAACATAGGGGTGTCGGCACATAGGTTGAGCATAATGACTTGAAGCTTTGCATGGCGGATGAGATAAAATAAAGGAATTTTTCGGGTAACACCATGTGCACAACGGGTGTGACCCGAGAAATTCCACATAATGTGGAAAGAAATCTCTTCTTGGAAGAAGTGTGGTTCTAAAAACAACCGGTTGGTTGAGTGTATATAACTCGACGTTTCGGACATTGTGTTCTGTCCGTCCTGGGGGGGGGGGGGGGGGGGGTTCAGTGATGAGACGTGGAAGATGCTGGAGGTTTTATGGCTGTGCTTGTGCAGTGAGGTGTGACTGGATGCTTGTGTATCTCATCACTCACCCTCCTGAGGACGGACGGGGCACACAATGTACTGGAATATTCATTCTTAAGTTGTGGATCTTGCATTCTACTCACGTTAGGGGCCATTCAAAATTGTCAATGTTTTTAAATTTGGATTTTTAAAATTTTTTTACCCACCCACTTACCCCTACTTTCGATTCAAAAAATTATTTGTCATTAAAGATCGAAATACAATGCACTTGCATACAAATATACTTGTACATGTACATGTGTGTCCATGCACATGCATGTCCATGCACATTGTGTGACCAGTTCAGTGACTGCTAGATGAAGCTGCGCCCCCTGTTGCATTGGTGCCCTGAGAAATTGTGCTTCATCAGCTGATAGTTGGATTAGGTATGTGTACTGCAGTCCGGTGCTAAAAACATTGGGTGTGCATCGTCAGCAGGAAAGTTTTTAGAAAGAGTTCTGTCCTGCCATCACACTTTAAAATAAATGTTGAACTGCTCAAAAGGTTTAAAAAGGGGGTGACATTTTATTGGGGGGGGGGGCTATGGAGATAATCTCTAACCACCCAAACTAAATGTCTCCCCTTAAAAACCTGTTTGGGAATTCAAAATTCATATCTAAAAAGTATTCCCAGGCCATTATACCAAAAGATAATAACTGTGTAGTTTCGGACCCCGTTCCAATACGGGAACAAAAATGTGTGCTGGATCTGGCAGTATTTCGCGAGGATCTGCCGGTATTTCGCAGTACATCCATGACGGCGTCCATTTTTATTGTCGTGGGAATGCCACACTGAAGTTGTTTATTATGCGCTATAAATGCATGTAGCGCTAGCGGGCGCTACATAATATACAGAGGTCATCGTCTGTAAATGGAGACGAAGTTGGAAAAGAAATGCGAAATCGGGCACTAGCGCGTAGTACAGGCAAGTCAGAAGATCTAGCTTTGCTTTTACTTTTTTTCTGAATGAAAAGTGAATTTGGATTTTCAATTATTTAACTTGACCCACCCACCCACAATTTGGGGGAAAAAAATCCAAATTTTAAAACATTGAAAACTTTGAATGGCCCCTTAATTGGTTTTTAGTGAAGGTTTCGCTTTCGTGCTCAAAATTCTAATTAACGGTAAAAATTAGCGCTAAATAGGCCATTCTTTAGCATGGAATGCACGAGATTCTTAATTAATTGGTCATTTATAAGTTATTGAATACTATCTTTTCGCGTTCGTGGTTTTGTGCGATATTCTAATTAATAGTCAATATTGTGGGGGGGGGGGGGTCATAAGGCGGTGCCCCCTCAAACGCACTGGGTGTGACACTATAAAGACGGTTTTTAAGGTTGGACACCCCACCTACTCGCTGCCACCATCAAACCATGTGTGAGAGAAATTTTATAATCAAACCTTACTGGGCTCTCAGACAAGTATATAGGCATATCACATTTCGAATTAATATGAGCACATTGGAAAGGAAATGATTATTTTTGAGAAGTTGTGGACGACAATGAACGTGAAAACAATACACGAAATAACAACACGGTACAATACACGATACACGATATCCATTATCCTGCTATCGACAGCCATTATCATCCTGCTATCGACAGCAAGGTACAGGAAGGCAGGAAGCAAGTTCCCACCCCAGGGCTTATACGAGGTTGACAATACAGTAAGCCCTGGGGACGAGGTTGGGTCTTTTGTAGCTCGTATGGGGGTACGTGTTCTGAGAATTAACTCAGGATTGAATTGAGCCCGACCCTAAAGCCTGTATTTTGAAATGGAGCACGAGTGGATGGTATAGGCCTATCGTTTTTCAAAATAGGAATGGGCCAACTTTAAGGGATGATTAGACGGGAACAAGTTCCCAAAAGTCATATTGTTTAACATATGGGATCCCGAGGGGACGGGAGGGGATGTCCTTCGCTCGTACCCCCCGCCCTGCAAACAGGACGCTGGGATACTCTGATGAATTTGCGCTCTGATTGGTTGGATTTTGCGTGACCAGTGACCTGCGCGTCATCAAGGTCGTGACTCTGCAAGGTTTGAAACGGCGGTTAAGACTGTTTCATTACTCTTTCATTCCAGTTTAGAGATGTTTTTTTTCTCGTAAAAAGCGTAATAATGTAGGAAATTCTGTAAAACCTATCTGTGTTGTAAATTTACAACTCCCGTCACTCGCTCAGACTCCGTTTCGAATCACGAACGGTCGGATTGCCTCATTTTATATGCGACGCCGAAAATTTTGTCCACATGGTCCGCAATGAAAAAGAAATCACATCCAGTATGGAATATGCGCAATTCTATGGGCAGTTTTCGGATGGCATTTGTGCACATTGTCTAACTGCGGTTTTGAACAGCTGCAGCAAGATGCTTTATACATAGGTCAAAGGCCATTTCCTTCACAAGATTCTGTGAAGCTCATCAGAGTATCCAAGCGTCCTGTTTGCAGGGCGGGGGGTACGAGCGAAGGGATGTCCTCCCTTCTCGCTAAACAACGCCCAGTGTAGTCAAATGGTGTCCATGCCCCTCTACATTTTTCGAACTTCCAAACGGTCCCCAGGGGCGGATTCATGAATATTTGCAGGGTGGGGGTGGGGGGGGGGGGGGGGGTTCACCAGCAAATCAATGCTGAAATGTAGACAGTTTTTTTCTCCAGACTCTAGGCTAGACAGGAGATGGCTCCGTGGATAACGGGTGAGACTTGGACTAACTCTTGGCCTGCGCCTCCGTAAAATAAAGGGGGGGG